ATGTATGTAATGTATGTATGTAATGTATGTAATGTATGTATGTAATGTATGTAATGTAATTAATGTATGTATGTAATGTATGTATGTATGTATGTAATGTAATTAATGTATGTATGTAATGTAATTAATGTATGTATGTAATGTAATTAATGTATGTATGTAATGTAATTAATGTATGTATGTAATGTAATTAATGTATGTATGTAATGTAATTAATGTATGTATGTAATGTAATTAATGTATGTATGTAATGTAATTAATGTATGTATGTAATGTAATTAATGTATGTATGTAATGTAATTAATGTATGTATGTAATGTAATTAATGTATGTATGTAATGTAATTAATGTATGTATGTAATGTAATTAATGTATGTATGTATGTATGTATGTATGTATGTATGTAATGTATGTATGTAATGTATGTATGTTATGTTATGTTATGTTATGTTATGTAATGTAATGTAATGCAATGCATGCATGCATGTATGTATAGATAGATAGCTAGCTAGCTAGATAGATAGATAGATAAATGGAGACACTTTACAGACTTTACATATGATCGGTCACAGTACTCAACGAAGGTCCAACCCTACCAGTACTAGCTTTGTTCAAGCAGACCTGGCTGGGGCAAGGCCTGGATAGCGCGGCTACTGGAGTTGCAAAGCAACTGGACCAGTGACTTGGGATCAACTGGGACTGGGGCTGGGCTGCAGTTGAGGCTGAAGAGTGGAGTTATCTGTTGAGCATCAGAGTGTCGAATGGTGTCAATCCTAGATGTCCTCCTTTTTCTATGGCTTGGGGAATAGAAATAGTGGAGGTCTCCACGCATATAAGCCACCCCACTGAATGTTTGTGGCAAAGATACCAGATAAACCATCAAACTAAACAGCAGGAAAAAAAAAGTTTGGGTCAAGTTAAAGACCATGGGAACCAGAGTAGTAGCGAGCATATGGCACTCAAGAGACGGCTACAATAACATGAAGATTGCTGAGCTGTCACCGTGCAAGACAAAAAGCAAACACAAACAAAAAAACAAAAACAAACGAAACAAGAAACAGAAACAAAAACCAGCACGGCCGGTGGTCAGCTGATCAGTTCATGGGCAATGGAAAGTGCAAGAAGAGATGATAACATTGTATCACCTCAGGGATTGGTATGGCAATGTAAAACAAAGCGAAACAACAAACCACAAAGTGCCATACAAAAATCTGTGAGCCAGGAAGCAACAACTGCACAATGCGGAAACCAAGGCTCCCCCCAGCCAGGAGCCTCGAGATCACAGAGTGCAAGCCGCACGGGCAACATTCTCACAGATTCATGTCCAAACCAGTCACCATGACGAACAATTGCTTCCTGAAAATCAGTTACGTATAGCAAATACATGTACACTATATATATATATATACATGTATATACATGCATGATTCTGTCGTTTCTCTTGTCCTGCCACCAACTGTGTATCTCATAAATCACATAGTCTGATTTCACGTGTTAGGTACCTAGGTCCTATAGCAGATGCTGATGAAACCAAAGAAGGAGAATAAACAGGGGGAAATCCAGTTTCAATTGGTAGACCATCGTGAATGCTGGACGACGTGGTCCAAAATAGGCTTGGAAGATCTTGAAAGATGATGTGTTTCGCTTTCTTCCGTTTAGAGATTGTCATTAAGTGTGCATGCCAATTGGAGGTTTTCAAAAATAGGCCCCTAAATCCATGGCATGTTTTCATGGATTTTCCATTGTAAACCATCCAGCTATTTCGGTATCCCCATTCATGGAAACCCCGCATTTACTGCAATTTCAAATATAGTCTTGTAGCAAACGAGCTGCCAAAGGTTGCGAGAATCTGCTGACCGAATGTTCTGCCTTGGCAAATCGTGGTGATTGCGACGCAGCGAGCCAGTGACCTTGTGGCAGCGATGGGGCCATTTGAGCAGTGTTCAAAAGCCCTGTTGATTGATGACATATTGATGACTATATGACTATATGGTGTTAATGAATGTTAATGTACTATCCACTATTATACGGAGTCAAATTATTATAATATATATATACACATATACTATCCAAAGCTATCCCACATACATGTGATCATGTGGTCATATGAGATGTGGATGACTCAAAGTCAGGGAACAAGATCGCCCTCAAAGGGTTTTGACAATCCTCTGCTCTGAAATGTTGTTTCAGGTCATGTCGGAGTCTCTCCTTCAGACGTCATGACTGTCTGAAAGGGCCAGAGTTGATGTGATGTTTCATTCCTGGAATTGTTTCAAGGGATGACTTTCCTAAGGTATTTTGACTACATGAGCCTTATCTGCAGAGCGCAGTGGTGCATTTTCATGCACTTTCTGCGTATAGCAATATATCAATATCTAAAGATGTATCCGTTTGTTTTGCAACACCTGCAGACCTGAGATACATGTGCCGAATTCGTATTCCATGATGTGAGGCACACGCATGGAGCCAAATTTACACATTAGAAGGTGTAAGCACGAATTGCATCCATACCCATCTAAATACACAGACACCCATGTTCGTATGTATAATTACACAATAAACATGATTTATATCAATATATACACAAATAGATTTATTCACAATTTACATGTAAACATCGAGTGCCACATCTGTAATAATCTTTTTGATATTTGCAACGAAGATTTCACCATTTTTTTCGACTGATTAGACTGTTGGCTTCAGGATGGAGCATTGCAAGAAGGCTTGTCGCGCCTGTGCCATGTCTCATTGGGGCTTGGGTGGTGATCTTCTTCTGGTGCTCCACACTACGGTTGTGGTGCAGACCTTGAGATTTGCTGCTTGGAAAACCGGCGCCTCTAAATGGCTAGCTGCAGGGTTGACATAAAATGATGGGCTGATGGAGTTTGTACATTGGGATTTAATATGATTTAATAAGTGTTGTTGGGATTTAACAATCAAAAATGGCCATTTACATCCATTTACCCTTTGGTAATCAACATGGCAAGCTTGTGATTGTGCTGAAGACATGCATTTTATAGGTCAATTTCACTACGGCAAGCCATTTACATATAACTTATATCTATGACATTTTGCCTTTTTTGCTAGTTGGGCAAATGCAAATCTACTATATCGTATATTATTGTCTTTCTGCCGTGTCCAAATGTGTCTGAGTTCGCTGTGACAAAAGAAGATGTTCCGACATTGCTTGGAAATTCAACCTGCATTGTGACGATGTGTTGCACATCGATTGAGGTTCTCAAGGCCTTTTCTGCATGTTTGCCTTGTTTCCAAGGCTGCTGGCATGTTGTAGTTTGCTCACAATCCGAGGCTTTTCTCTTCCACCAGTCCACCATGCAATTGGTCATTGCTGACCATTTGACTCTCCGAGATGATTTCTTCGGTGATTTTCCCGTGGAAAACAGATGGAAATAATAGAGCTTTCCCGTCCCACTAAAAGCTTAGTATCGAACGGGATATCAGGGAGGGAGAGTTGACTCTAGCCTTTCTCATCCCAACACATGCACCTTGACCATGCTATTGGTGCAAAATGTGGACAGCTCGTCTTGCCAATGCAAGAACATGGGCACTTCGAAGATCAATTCACTGGGAGGAACATCATAAAATCTGGATAAATTATAACGACCTCACTGCGACCTCACTGGAATCATAGTTCATAAGGGAAACCAACCCAAATGGGCCTTAATTCAGGTTAGTGAAATATTATAATTTACTCAGATAAAATGATATCCCCATTGCCAGTTCCAGGTTTTTTCGAAAATGAGGGTCACTTGAGTTATCCCCAATGGTTAGGTCGGAAAATGTTGACACCCAAGGACCGAGCCAGAGACGCCTTTCCAGGCCTTTGAGGAAACTACGGCGCCCAAGGCACACGATCGTCCAAGACAACTTGACGACGTGTGGGTATGAGATGGTAGATGATACTAAACAGTGAAACAAGGTTGAAATCCCCAACCATCATCAGAAAATTGGTCAGCAGCTCAACACCACCAAAACGATTCAATAATATCATAGATATCATATACTATGTAATATGTATCTATATATATATAATATTATGAATTATATATATGGCACTATCCCTTGGGTATCCCCCCTTCAGCTGTTGCCAAACGACCCCTTTTTTTCTGCGCCTGGAAATTCCAGGCGTGGCCCCGGAATGAGACGGAACTGGTCGAAGCAGCACATGCCACAGCTCGTGGCTCCAGCAGTGTAGAGGTGCAGGTTTTTCGTTGATTCACCGAGTGAATGGTGGGTAATCTTAAGGTTGATTAATATTGAAGAGTGGTTGTGTGAAGTGGGGTTTCAACAGAACTTGGGTTTATATGGTATACTGAAAGTTGTGAATTAGTTTTGTTAAGAAAACATATGGGGTTTATATTATATGGTATACAGTACCCAAAACTTTTTTTTTTGTTTTGGACATTCATTTTTTTAGACCCCTTGGAGTTTAGTTTGCCCAATTTTGTTCAACCGAGTTGTTGCAATAAACGCACATATATTTACTACCCAACTAAAGATTGATGTTTGGAGGGGCATCTCAGGCGCACGCTCGTCATGGTGAAAGGATTTTGCAGCCTTTTTGCAGTGACATGTCCAGCTTGAACATCATCATAGAAGATAATATGCAGTACACATCTACAGGTTTGAGCAATATGTGACAAGCCTCAAATGACCTCATGAATGAAGAGCCCTTGGGACAATTGCCGTTGGGACAGTTGCCAAAAGAATTATACCAAGTCTGCCAAGGTCTATTTCCAAGCTTCATATCACCAAGATTGGAGCCAAATGTTTCCGGTTGATATCCCCAATTGGATTAGTTATACTGTCCATCCCCAAATCTTGTCACGCCAATGATTGTTGATAAAGACTCCCAAATGTATTGGTCCAGGTGCTTCTTAGCTGCTTCTTCTCATTGAACATGCATGATTGCTTGGTTTCGCTGTATCGTCAGAACCATTACTGACTAACAAGCAAGTCTTACAATATACTATAAGAGCTAATTTGGGGGGATATAGTCATCATCCTCAGAATGAACTCTCGAACCATCTGGGGCTTAATTGTAGCCCCCCAAAAGATAGAACTTCAGAATCCGACGAAATTAAACCTGTTGTTAACTGTTGTTCTATCTTTTCAATTTTTTCCAAGGGTTGCTATACTTCTTCAGATGTTATCCCTCCCGTTGGACCGCCAGGACTCAAGGACTCAGCACCAGGAGCCCAACGAAGCAGCGCGGAGTTTGTTGGCGGAGCACCAGGCAATTGCGATCAGTTTTTTTTTTGGCCATTGCCATCCCATATGTTTATAAGATATTTTATATGATCTGCAGTATAATATCTCTGAGTATCTGCAAATGGAACATCATATGGAACATTCGATGGCTAAGATTGATGCGAATGATTGCGGTTCAACTAGTATCTTGCAACACACTGCAACAACACATGATAAAAACGGGGGTCCCCAGCAGTTGGTTAGGCAGATGCTGAGAGCGCCAGTCCACTGCCGCGTGTGATGGAGCCGGAAGCCGACCTGCCGTCCTTGGGATCGCCGCAGGACCGTCATGGGGATTCAAGCCTTCTTGGGGTTACTAAAACCAGTGTGGATTATTGAGTAATCCAATATATGGGAATAGGCTTAGGGCTAACAGAAGGCGAACTGGGTACTGAACAGTTCCCTAACTGCACGAACTCTTGTCATCAACTGAAATGACCAAGAAGAAAAACGGTGTTTTTCGGCCAAACATGGAGGGTCGAGCTCACAAAAACGTGGGATTCAAGGATTGAACTGGAAGCAACCGTACTTTGTTCATGACCCAAACAGGGACACATACTTTGAGTTGCTTCTGTCAGGACCGCAAGTCGGATGATGACGATGCCAGCTTCTACGAGTGCGAATCGCTTGCTGGAGACCAGTGACGCCTCTTCCCATAGCTGCCATAGCTGTTTTGTGACTCGTCACAGGAGGTTGCTGGATGTCAGTGGTCCCATGGGGTGCGCTGCAACAAGGAAGGGGCGTGGTGAAGCCTATTGCGATGGAGGTGATGAAGCAGGAGGCAACTGGTGTGGCAGATCTGGAGATCATGAAGGGCCAATGGCATGGCTTGGTGCTCTTGTGGACAGATACGGTTGGACGAAGATTTCGGGAAGAACTAGCACCAAGATGCACCAAGTCCTGCTCTGCGGGCAGCCATGGATCGCGTTCCCTCAGTCGATGTTGAAGTGCCGCATTCATGTAGAGCTGGGCCACGCAAATGCCAATGCACCGCACAGAAGACTTGCAAAAGGTCAACATGAAAGGGTTCTGCAAGATACCAACTGCTTGCTTCATGTTACTGTGTTGCAACTAACTTACTTCAATGTGACACGGATGATTCATGAGCATTGAAATTCTACGTATTTCCTCACAATACTTGAGATTTTCGGCGACTGAATGTCCATTTGTAGGGGATTTCGGCAGGGTGTGGCTAATACTTGGGATGATTGGGATGATTCATTCCAGTTGGCCAAGATTTTTGGGGATGGCTTGAAACCACAAGAAAAAACAGTTGGAGGCTGGCGTAGGAGACGAGGCGTTCGGGGCTCAGCATCTTTGAACTCGCGAAAACAATTATCAAGAAAGTGGTCAGGTGTTTTTCTTTTTGTGATAATATGTGATAATGGAGGACATAAACATATATAAACCATCAACAACACTTAGATTATCTAGATGCTACAAACCATCAATGATAAAACCTGTGATAATTCATCGATAGTACGTTTTGCACAAATGGGTCTCTTCAGATGGCGAAATCCAAATGCTTGACGGTACAAAGCACTTTTTTTTTCCGGTCCAATTCTTTTTGTTTGGGAAAAGGTTCCTTTCACCCAGGCCAAACCCAGATGTCTGGGATCCCCAGTGGCCGATCTGCCATGAATCTGATGATATTTCTGGAGATCTGGGTTTGTTTGAAAATGCGGTACATATAATATTATATAATATTAAGTACTAGCCCACCTCAAATTGTGTCACTGCGATTGTTCATTTGCTCAGGATGTTGACACATGCCTCTCGTGTAAATGTTTCAAGTCATTTTGTCGGGTTTGTTTGAACATGGATTATTCTGGATGATACAGTAATACCTGATTTAATTGCTGATTTATAGTTCTTGTAAATTTCAGAGCATGATCGTAAACTGCTAAAGCATGGGGATTCGTGGCAATTCAAGGCCTTGGATGATTGGTACAGTGATCCCTGGGCCAGCCCAGGCGCTTGTTTTGACCGATGGTGTTTTTTGCAATGGACTCTATATGTCTATATCTATGTATCTATATATGTATATATTTACTACATGTATAATAAGTATACCCTCTGGTAAACTAACATAACTATAGAAAATCACCATTTTTAATGGGAAAACTCACTATAAATGGCCATTTTCAATAGCTATGTTAGTTTACCAGAGGGTAATATGTATATATCTAGTTGGTGGCTTCAGCTTCTAGTATTTTGTTGGTCAACCATATTTGGGATGATCGCCAGTGCCAATGACGAGCGTAGTTTCTCAGATAGAATGCCACCAAAGATATACAACAATAGACATTTACATATATATGTATGTATATATATATAGTATGTATGTATGTATGTATGTATATATGTATGTATATATAGTATAGTATAGAATGTATGTATAGTATACATAGTATATATAGTATATATATGTATGTATGTATATATATGTATGTATATATGTATGTATATATAGTATACAACAAGTTACATTCAAGTATAGTATGTATGTATATATATAACTATATAACTATATAACTATAAATATACACGTGTATATAGAAATATTATATATCGGATGGAGTAACCAACCAATCCTTGACTTGCACGGTCAGGTTTTCAGCACAAGGTTTCCTCGAACTCTCAACGTGAGAGGCAGGGCACGAACACCGGGAGAGAAGGAACTGGGATATGTTCGGTATACCGTATAGCCTATGTAAGATGTCAGTGTCCTGTGCACAAGCTGAATGGGTAAGCCATCCAAGGGAATTGTCTATTGCCGTATTATTAGATTGCCAGAGGGTATACCTGATCCAGCGAGAGGCAAGTGTCAGGATATAGCAACCTTGACTGCCAAAATAGGGCCATGCAAGTTGCCATGCTGCTGTACAGTGACTCTCACTTTGTGGGTTGCCCAGTTTTCGATGGTCCATTTGAAATTAGGTCCGCAAAAAATCACGTGGTTGATGGCTGATCATCATTTTCTCCCTGAAATTGGCCATCAATTACAGGAATATCATGGAATCTCCAGAATTTTGAGACCAACCCATCCAAAGTATCCCAGGCTGCAACGTTTGGCTCAGCCCACTGGAACATCCGCAGCCAAAGATGTTGAGTCTGGATCGCCTGGATGATCCTGGACCCAAAGGAAGCGGTCGCAGCAGATCGCCAGAGTCGGGTCCGACTCCAGGGGGAAACTCCATCCAGATCGAAGAGATTGACCGCTGCATGCAGAAGGATCCGCCGTTATTTTTTTTGCTGAGCTTTCAAGCCTGACAATGTTTGATGATGTTTTAATGAGCCAAATATAGCAGTATATGTTTTTATATCCATGGATTTTCTGTGTGTTTATGAATGACGATTTGAACCAATGAATCAGCTTGGTCATAATTGACACTACTCCCATTCCAGCCATACTGTATACGCGTATTTTGCAATGCTTTTTCCAGTTCCCCACACGCCACCCTATACCCAATCCAATCAAAAGCTGCAGGCGCGTCCCCGAAGACTTCCCCATAGGATTTAAAAATGGGCAATGGCCTTTGATTGAATACATAATTACCCAATATACAGATATGGGTATGGATCAATACCTATTAATACCATTTTTAGGGGGATGAACATCCATTTACCAGCTATTTTGATGTTCACCAGGGGTACAAGGTTTTGACACACAGCCATATACAATACAAAGATGAACAGATATGACAATACGCACACACACACACACCACCCTCCAGTATCCTCCAGTAAACTAGCAAAGCTTTGGGTATCCATTGAATCCTTGGTTTCCCTTGGACATGATCTACAAATGGTGGACTTCCATATCTCTCTTCATCTTCGAACGTAATCAAGCGTGGCAATGGAAAATCCCCGAACTAATGGAGGTTTAGTTCGCTGAGACAATCATCTATGAGGGATTTTCCAGGCTACGTTTGTATACACCGCAGGGTATCGATGGATATACAATGATATATATATATACATACACATAATCAGTGCACATCAGAACTTTCTCAGGGTTGCTGGAGGAGACGATCACCAAATTCTTCAGCCACGAAGCTCCAGAGGTGCCCCTGGTGATTGTGGAGAAGACCTTCACTGACGGGCCATGTTTGCGCTCCGAGAATCTCAGTGTAATGATCACTGAACCGGGCCCCTTTGGCGAATATGTAAGCTGAAATCCAAGGCATGGCTGCCTCAGTGAGACTGACTATCAGCCACTGATAATTAGCATGAATTGGTACTAGAAGTGATCATTTAGCATGAATCAATTTATCATCAATCAGCTAGATTAATGGTATTGAACTTGGAGGTAAATGTGGATTCACGCTCAAATCAAATGATTGATGGATATTTCCCCCGTGTGGCTGACTCTTGCTGTTGTGGTGCGTAGGGAGCAGAATTGAAGATGTTGGAGGCCAGGATATAAAGTGAAAGAAGGAACAGAGGGAGTGAAGAAGCACACATATATATGTATATGTATATGTATATGTATATGTAACTGTATATATATATACATATATATATAACATACATATATATATACATATAATATACATATATGGATAATATATATATATATATAATTTACATATATGGATAATATATATATATATAATTTACATATAATAAATGTAATATACGTATAAAAATGTATAACATATACATATATATATAACATATACATATATATACATATATATATATATACATAATATAAATATATATATATACATATATATAACATATACAATATATATATATATACATATAATATATATATATACAAATATATATATATATAATATACATATATAGTGTATATATATATATACATAATATATATATATACAAATATAATATGTATACATATATATATATACATATATATATACATATAATATATATACATATATAATATATATACATATATAATATATATACATATATAATATATATACATATATAATATATATACATATATAATATATACATACACAATATATATATGACATATATAGTATATATACATAATATATATTTATATATACATAATATATATATACATAGTATATATACATATATAATATAATATATATACACATATATGTATATATATATATAATCTACATATGATATATATATACATACATAGTATTAGTAATATATATATATACATATGCACGATGTTATATACATAATAGATCTGTGTCAATGTCTATGTGTGAATATCTATACACAACTATTGAACTTATCTAAGCACATGGCTACATCGCGATCATATAAAACTCGATGTGCTTTTCTGTTATATACTGAGCTTACACCAATGAATATCAAGAGGCTGTTCATGTTGTTTTAAGTTGGGAGTTGTGATATTTCAATTTTCTACATGGCGTGCCCTTGTTTCATCTTTTTTCCTCATGGATAATCACATCAACTTTACAGGGTCAGTGTGACAGGCCTGAACTTTACGGAACCATACGGAATCTCACGGGGCAGGATCCTTTTTGGGAATTCATCAAACATCATCAATTTACAGTTCAAACATGGGAAGGATTGTCAATATCCTTATAGACTGACTAACTACAGCCAGGTTAACGTAAAGCTTACATAAATTACAATGGGGGATGTTCAGACCCCATATTTGTTTGTATAATATATGTATATATACATACACATATTTGTACATATTTGTAGTATGGATATCCAATGATATCCATCTATGTCGGCTACCCACCAGTTGCTCCAAGCTCCAGATTTAATTGGCCCCATTCTTTTCATGTTCCTTCAGGTTCCAGGTTCGAATGAATTCGATGACATTTTTCAGCTTTTCCCTAGGTTCAGAGGAAATCTCTTGCAGCAAGCACGAGTCGCGCATTGAAAAGAAGGGCCCTCCCGGCTACGAAGAGAGTTCGCGAGTGACAGGAGACCCTGCAGCAGTGAAGGCGATGGGAACGGCGAACATGGCTGGGAAATGGCCTTTTTTAATGGGCACTGAATGGAAAAATATCGAACCTTTAAATGGGGATCTGCCATGGCCATCCAACGTTATCCAACTATAGACCCCTTGGGTTTCGATCATTTTGAACCATACGATTATTGTATCTACATTGACATACACTGACTCATTTATTTTCCGTGTTTATAGTTTGAGCCTTGGACTATACACATTTGAGTCACCGACAATCTATTCATGACTATTGTGGGGATTATAGCATAGCTACTGTAGCCACCACAGGGGATGAAAAACAGAATTATTCCAGGCGAAGCTGATTGAGATTGCCACAGTCCTTGAGAAATCGGAGAGCCTGGATAAATTCTTGGACTTGTTTCCCTCGTCGTTTCAAATCCGTGGTCTTTTGAATTCAGAAGCTGGTGAAGAAGATCTTTTTGCCAAAAAAATGCCAAAGAGCGTTGCCTTGGGCTGATTGTTCTTGATGGGCTGCTGAGAGCCGGAGTCGTTGCTGATTGAGATTTGGATGTTGGAATCTGGAATCTGGCTGGAATAGCAAGAATCTTGAAGGGATTCGCAGATTTTCAGTTGGGAAACATGTTTCCTGGAATCCATTCTGATTGCATCACGTCGAGTTTGAAAGGATGAATTGATTTGGATTTCGTTGACAAGTCTTGGACAGATCTATTTGGCACTGGTCCAAAACGGGCTCCTGCTGCTTTTGTGGGTTTCGAGTTCATGGAGACTGAGAACTGTTTCGTGATATGTTTAACGTTGCTTGAATTCTTCGATGATACATATGGATCAATCATGATGAATATGGGTGTTTCATGTTTCTGAAACTTGGGCTTCCCCCTTTTTGTTCCCCTTTTTCACCATTGGTTTACGCAGCAGTCCATGGCAGGCGAGGCTCTGGCAAGTCTGGGGAAGAGGCCGGTCCATGGCATTGGACTGTGATCACAAGCCGTCACCCTGTCCGTGTGTTTTCTTTGATCGAAAAATGTTGAAGATAGGGGGATGGTACATGGAAATGGCCATGCCTGAGAACAACTTTTGATTTTCAGGTGATTTGTTGGCGTGTTCTCTGTGCCGTGTCTGTGGCCTTCGTGTCTCTTTCCACACCTTTTTTGGGTGCGAGGAAGTGGCGCAATATGAGTTTGTCCAAAAATAGGGCTAGGGTACCCCACAATGCCATGATTGATCATTATTTTCCACATCAAAAAGTCCACATCTTTGGACAAACTCATAGTGTTGCTCCGCTATCTGTCAGCGTATCACCAGACTATCCGACTATCCGACATGACATCTCCAGTGTTGCTTGATGTTTTTTCTGCATCCCCATTTATCCCATCCCCTTAATATTAAACGCACACCCCAAAACCCATGGCCTAACAGGGAATGAAGCCACTGGACCATACCCTCTGGCAAACCCTATGTTAAGAAACATTAAATCAGCGAACCCAATTGGCCATTAGTTCCATGGATATTTTTGAATTACAAGAGGACAATCAGATGACCTGTGTATCAGATCTCACATATCATCAAATATCATTAAGATTTGACCTATATCTGAACTATCAATGGAGAATAACCAACTAATTATATACCCTCCGGTAGTCATAACAACGGAAATTTCCCCATTGATCGATGATTTTCCCAGCTATAAATCTCCAGGTTTAGGGGATTTTCCAATTGCCACGTTTGACGCCCGGAGGGTGTCCATCGATGGCAGGTGGAGACGTTCCTTCTGGAACAGTTGGATGATGCACCCACAGAGGTTGGCATTCCAAAGGTCATAGAGATTGGGACCGCAAAAAGTAGATGGTGACTTGAACATATGCGTGAAATTAAGGATCATTATAGATATAATTATAGATATGATATAATTAGTGACAACTTAGTGATGATTAATGATGATTAATGACAATATCATGAATCATGACGATATAATGATATTTAGTGATACTCAGTGATCAAAGACCTATTGGCCTGTCACTTCTACGGAACAAAATCATGTTCTCTACGCTGCACAGGTGATGGATTTGGGCCTCGGCGCACAACGTGAAGTCGCCCCATTGGAGGTGCTGAAGACTCAGCTACCAGTGACTGAAAACGGTATACCCCCCAAATAGCTATGGAAAATATGGGAAAATGGCCACTAACATTCACTAACTAGTGGATGGAATGGGGTTTTCCGCTGATTTTTCAGGCCCCAGTGAGTTAAGATGAAGTGTCCAATCTCAGTGCCGACAGTGGGCCTGACGGTGGTTTGGAGGATTCAACAGGGGTGTCTTGTTGTGGGACACTTCTCTTTTCTCGGTTTTCATGCTTTTTTTGGTCAACTACTTGGTACAATCTCATACAGCAATACCGTAGATCATATATTCATATATACGTATATACGTATAATATATTATATATGTATATATATATATGTATATCATATATATATATGGTCCACATATATATATATATATTATCATATCATATCATATCATATTCTATCACATCACATCACATCACATCACATCACATCACATCACATCACATCACATCACATCACATCACATCACATATATATATATATATCATATTATGATGTCAGATGTCATATCGCTTTCTTGTGCCAATGCATAGCAGTCAGCCGCTGTCAGCCCCGGCCGGGACGCGGCCAGGATGTGTTGGAAGAGTCATTCCCGACCGCTTCGCAGTGGCAGTACGGCAGGCGGATTCCGGGGATTTCACATAGAAACGTGTTGTCAGTGGGTCATAACTGAGCTACAACTGGTTGATGGGCTGTTTTACTGTATATAATACTAATATTCTGTAGACATATGATTATGTGACAGTATATGTATATATTATATAGATATTAAGCTACTGTAGTGACCTTATTTTAGATGTTTTGAATATAGGTTACTGCCCCAACTAGGTCATGATCCTTGCCACTAGTCAGTTACTACTCATTGGGATGACCGAACCATGCTTGGCATAGAAGAAGTACTTAGATCATCTTTAGATATAGATATTCCATTGCACTTTGGATCTGTACAAGGAGCACAGGTAGAATCCCTGAACCGCCTGAACCATTTGTCCTGCTGATTGTTTTTTCATTGAGACCATGGAGACCCGGAATGTGAACACGTCGTCTTGGGCGGAACAGGTGCGTTGCTTTGAAACTAGTGGCACACAGCCCACAGGGCAGCAGTGTCCGGCACCAAGTGCTGAAGTGCTGCGAGCTGAAGATTAGCCCAGCTGGGCCTAATTCAAGGCACAGGGCCATAGATTTTGGTAAGTTGTTTCTGAGATCCATCTATCTGTCATTACCTCATAAGTTGAATTCAGACCTAGCCATCGACACATGATAGTATGGCAGAGACTTGTGACCAAGCACCTGATCCACACACAAAAATATGCCTATTGTTTGCTATATGGCTTTGTCTCAAATTGGGATACCTCCAATAAATGGTCATTAAATGGGAATCATGATTTACCAGTGGAATAAAACGGGGGTACGCTCTTTCAAAACATATCCATCTGGGCCTGGGAATATATGGGATCATATCATATGGGGGGTTCCCAAGTCATGAGGGTACCCCCAAATCATCCAGTCGTCATGGATGGCCATGGTGACGACTGGGGATCGAGGCCTTTGAGCAGCTTCTCTCGGTGCTGTTGACCGTTTTTCAGGTCACGGCTGAAGAAAGGCCGGCGTCGAGTCGTCCACCTTTTTGGATTGGTAAAAAGTGGTTGGGATGCCCCCAATTCACATCTGGCCTTTGAAAGAATGGATTTCCAAATTTTCCAGAAAATTTCCCAAATCTTGGATGTGTTTTGGAGTCTCAAAATTCTCAGACAAACCCTAAACCCTAAATCTTTGGAGTATATGACATAAACATCCGGATCAACAATATTTAGTTGCTGTGAGGCCAACGAAATCCAAAAGCTCCCTTGAGCGCTGGACAGGAAAGGAAGTTTCAGAAGCCGCAAAAGCTCCCAGAGCTGGTGGTATGGAGCCCGAAGGGGCGGGGGTTTGTCGATTTCTCCAACAAAAAAATGGGCCTTGAAGATGTTTGACCCAACCCCAAAATGGGGATGCATTTCAGGACTTCTGAGGATGTCTCATTGAAAGATCTCAAAGGAAAAACTGGAATTGTAACCAAACAGACAGGGGGCTCGATCCAAAGTTCCAAAGTTTCCTGTATACATGGAGGCAAACATATTTTGGAAACATCATAGACTTTGTCGGAAAGGCACCAGAACATTGAAAGTGACTCAAGGGTTGTCCGATAATAGGGGTAAATTTGACTGTTGAACTTCCAGTAATCATCAGTTTACCTCTGTAACTGGCCGTTTAGGGATATAACATTGTATAATTAATATTAATTAATTGATATATATATATAAGTACGTATATATATATATATATATTAATAACCCATTTTCAGACACACCACATTTTGCATCATATTGTAGCCCTCGAGCGCCCGACATCCCTAGGCGCAGTGGCCTGCTGCGCTGTCGGCCGGCGGATAGAGGTGTCGGGCCTGTCTGGAACTGGGGTATAGCCCCAAAGGGTTGCTTAGAAATGCGTTACATAGGGAAACTGATGATTAACCGCTGGATTTAGGGGTGCACTATTTTCAGTCAAACCCATGTCTGGTGTGATTGGGTGCGTCTTGTTCTGTTTATTGGATGGGGATGGAACAGAAACTGGCGATATCACTTCGTGCAGGATTTTGGTAGTACCAGTAGTACCACTTGGCCAGACCTTCCACAGGCCAAAGCATTCCTGAAGACGATGCCCTGTTGCCGTGACGAGAACCAACTGATGGCCTTGCTTGTTTCTCGTGTCACAGGACGCGAGCATGAGCATCGCAGTGTTGGAACAATTACCATCTTTGGGGATTTGCCGGCAGCATTTTAGTATATTTTAGTGGTCTTTGCAAGGCTCCTCAGCGTCTACATAGCCCCGGAGAATAACAAATCTCTTGCAACGATGCATGGTGGAATTCTTTTGAATTCTTCAGATCTTCGAGCTGTGAACAAGTTTTGATACCGTGTGTTTTGCAGTATGTCCACATATGAGAGCTCATAATAGCTCATACAGTATGGCATGGTGCCAATATCAATGCTGCCTGGCAGATATTTTGCAAATGTTTTGCAGGGTCTTTCTGTTGCTGGGTCAATACGGCCCAGTGACCACAGACTGGCGGTGTTCGCCTTGCCTGAGCGAAATGTGCATCGAACGCCCTCGAGAGAATCTGGTTGGTTTCACATGGTTTCACCAATCATATATCCGGGGTTCCTGGACATGTTCCCTTTAAGTCAATTCATTGAAACATGTTGATGAAACACGGAGAATAGCGGTGCGCTGACCAAAATGGCAAGTTGACATTGATAATTTTTATCATCCTTTGCACTTGGGGGTACCACATTTTGAGACAGACTCATATGGTACAGTTTTCCAAGGAAGCATGAATCATGTGGCTTAACCCTAAGCAACAATATCTTTCTTGGTGGTTTTAAAGATATATGAACTTCATATCCCTCAAGATGGGATGATGATCCCAAATGACTTTACCATTCTAGGATGTGTACCATTAACCAGGTATGTGAGAGCCGTAGAAGAACAGGAACGTATTGGCATCGCTGTCAGTTTGTCGGTCCCTCTCTTGACCTTGCACAAAACATCCCTGTTCTGCTGTCAGAACAGCATTCTTATTGGGTCAACTTTAAAAGCCAACAAACAAACAACAATATTACCATATAATCAGTCAACAATATTAGCATAGAACGATGTAAACCCAACAATATCCCCATCAATTGGGTAGTTTTTTTTTTTTCCATCCCCGCTTTTTGAAACTGGTGGATTCACCCTGTGGACGGATTTTGTTAATAGCCTGTTTGCAGACAAAAAATGACATATATCTATATACCATAAACCATCCACAACCCGAAAGCCTGGTTCTTTTTTTTTGATTGGAGTTTGATGTACCATAAGCCCATCATAAACCCTGGCGATGGTGATTTTCGGTGAGGCGTTCTTCCGCAGCAATTTTGGATGGGGAAGGAACCCGGTGCAGCGGTACCCAAAGGACGCCAAGGTTCATAACGCGGGAACTATCTGAGTTCAGACACTTGCAAATGCAGAAATCAAGGCTGTTCTCAATATATCAATATGTATCTAATTGACTATATTTGATATACATCTATATTTGTGATGATATATATTATATATAATTAGGTATATAATGATACCAGTATATAATTATATATAGTGATATATATATATATATCATGCATATACATACTTATCACATTATATTATTGTTAGATATCAATGCATCAATGTCATTCCATGCCCCAGAACGGACACTTCATGGGAACAGTTTGCCGCTGAAATTTCAGGTGTCCGATGGGGAAGAAGAAGACCTCAGAGAGGAGCGGGTCGTGGTCCCTCTGGTTCAATCGATCGGTTTAAGGGGTAAGTTTTCCATGGTTTTTCCCACAAAATTTGGGGGAAACCATGGTATAACCATGGTTTTTCTCACAAAATGTAGGTGGTTCCTGTAGATGGTCCTTTAAAACAATCCATTGACTGGTTGATTCAAAGACTTGAAATGCTGCAGTGGGATGGTTGATAACATGCAATAGACGCATATCAAAAACTAGGTGGTAAGAAAAAGATGGTAAATCCAAGCATAAACTTTAAGTAGGGATGGTTTATATGACCCATTTCTGCTGTTTTCTTTTTCCGGCTGGATGGCTTGCTAAGTTTTCTTTCCCCATGACCTTGTTTCCCTGATTCAACTGCGAGGAACGGGGAAGATGAACTTCAAATTGGCGATAACGTTGAAATCTTTGGCCTGCAAGGTGTGTGGCGGCAGATTGTTGGGAATGAAGTTACGTGTTGAAAGCCTGTGGACATGTTTTGGTCATAATTTCAACACCTATCATGTCCTATCCTGTCATATCATGTCCTATCATGAATCTTTCTGGCAGGTCTTGTGAGGATTACAACTAGCCACACAAGATGCAAACGAGCACAAACGCCACTCTTAGGGGAGTATGGCTGGCTAATTAGTTATGGCAGGAAGGACGTGATTTTGTCATTTTTCCAAAACCACAATCCTTCCAGATTTTTGCAAAAGTGTGACAGCACTTTTCTTTCCCCTTCCAAGACATCAGACAGCCCAGAACCATGATCCGCATGGGTTCGTTTGAAATTGGTACTTCTGAATCCACTGGTTTATCATCATTGCTCTATTCCCTAAACGGCCATTTGGAGGGTATACCCCAATTTCACACACTCAAATCATCTAATCACTGACAGATCCATATTGATCCATTGGGTCACGCCGTGTCACGTCACATTTGCAGGTGCCAAAGACTTAAACGGTCGCACTGGGCGTATTGTCTCCTTTGTGGAGGAAACCCAGCGGTTGGGACTCTCAGCTGCTGTGGGAAACCGATGACATCGGGGTGGTTCTGCATCTCTCTCTATGTGGGTGTGGATAAACCTACGTATATTATGGTCATTACATGTCATTACTAGGATTATACCATATTAGTTTGTGGGGGTTGAACATCCCTTTGCCAGCTATTTTGTGGTGTGAGCAGAGGATTCCATTTGTTTTGATCCGCATTTGAGTCTAGTGGCTCACCTGGAGAAAGGGGGCTGGAGGTAACAAGTGGCATACCATGAGAATCCGCGGGACAATGCTGATCTCTTGAAGCACAGTAAGACTCACTAAGAAATCAAAGATCCATATAAACACTAGCAATTAAATGGCATTAATAATGGCATTAAATGACATGATAATGACACACACACATAATTTATAATAACACCAATAGTGATATAATACCAATTTTCATAACATATGTACGAACTATACATATAATTATTGATATATTAATATATTTGATATATTTAATATATTTAATATATATATATATATCACATTAATATATTAATATATGCTAATATATATATATATATAAATACAAGATCATGTAAATAAAGATCTCTAGGGACGCCGTAGTGACGGCACAGCCATTCCTGCCAGCTTTGGGGTGAAGCTGGACGATGGCTTGGAGAACAAGGCGGTCGGCACCTGAGGTACTCGACTCGTTCAACCGTTCGGCTTCACGGTTCTGTATGGGATTTAATTAAACGGTCATGGAAATGGCATTTATGGATATTTATACTATAAATGGATATATATATATATATTAAATGTCATTCTACCTCATGTTTATATAAATGATTTTGCTATAAATGGATATTTATTCGAAAACGACGGTGTCTTAAGTGGGATTTTGAATGGTTTTTTACGGTCATGAAATGGAATTCGTTGGTTGGTTAAACCCCCGGTTTCATGGGATTTGAACTGGACCGAAAAAACTGGATCCAATCATCCACTGTACCCTCTGGTAAACAGCCACATAACTATGGAAAGATCCACCATTTTCAATGGGTAAATCCACTATTTCTATGGCCATTTTCAATAGCTATTTTGAAATTACCAGAGGGTAGGGGTTTTGACATATCTTAACCATCACACATATGTGGATATGATTGGTACGTGATGATGGGATGGTGATCCGCAAACTGTACCATTTTATGGGGACATCTGACGGGGATTTCCCTTGGTCACCATGAATGTAACATTTGTTTGTCCAAAACCCACGGTAAATGTTTGGATTGAACATCAATTGCAAAGGGCTCAAGAAAATCATAAAAATCGGGTATTAATATAGAATTAATATAGATACAATGTACAGACTATAATCATCTATAATCCAAAACTGGGTATGGATAGTATGTTCAACCATTTCCAAACACAAACAATGGAGATGTTCAACCATTTCCACTCGCGCTGTCGTGAGGTCAAACCTGCCAATCTCCGGAAAGTTGATCAGGATGGTCCGACAGAAATTGAAGTGGGAAATTGCCTACAGAAATTGGTTAGAACTGGTGTACATGGATATAGAATGATTATATTATATATACACACATAATATACATATGTATATATATATATATAATATACATACATACATACATACATGCATGCATGCATGCATGCATGCATACATACATACATAATTACATACATACATACATACATATACATACACACACATACACACATACATACATACATACATACATACACAGACATACATACATACATACATACATACATACATATAGACATATACATACATATACAGATTACCATACATACATACATACATACATTACACATACATACATACTACATACATACATACATACATACATACATACATACATACATACATACATACATACATACATACATACATACATACATACATACATACATACATACATTACATACATACATACGATACATACATAGCATACATACATAGATACATACATACATAGATACATACATAGATACATACATAGATACATACATAGATACATACATAGATACATACATAGATACATAGATACATAGATACATAGATACATACATACATACATACATACATACATACATGCATATATATATACATATATATACATACATACATACATACATACCTAGAACCCAAACGACCTGCAGAAATAGGTCAGACCCGAGTTTTGAAAAAAGTACAGGTCTCTTTGAAAAGTACGGCACTTTGTAAAATATTGGATTTTGGACATTTCCAAGAATCTTCAAGAAACATATAAACAAGGATCATATTGTATCAATCTATCTGGAATTCAACATGGTTCCCATAAGAAACAAATGATACCTGGCATCTTATTGGTATGATCACCACAAACCACCCTTGACACACCACGATCCCACTCGCTCGTCCGGTTTTCGCCTGAACCCCCTCCTGCTCAAAGACGTTTGTTTGGGAAACTCTGGCAGCAACTCCATGTAGATTTTAATATAGTGGTGAAATTAATTTGGTATCTAATCTAATTTCAACTACTTCCCCAAGAGTAAGCAATGGTTAATTTTGCTGCGCAGGGCTGCTCAAAGCAACTAAACAACTACACCTTGCCGATGGCAAACAAGCCACGCTGATCACAGTCAGCTTTTTTCATAAATTGCATTGTTGAGATCAATGATCTCTGACAGACACGCAAATGTATCTGGCGAGGGGCCACACGTCTACTCAAGCGGCTCGGTTTTCCTATGTAGTCTTCTTGCAATTGCACGCTCTCTGATAAGGGGTTTAATGCCCAAATTGTGCCATCTTCTTCAGCTCTTTGGCTCTCTCTCAACAGTCTCAAAGCACCATGGTGGAGCATGTGCAACTTCGGAATGATTGCAAAGCGGTTCAAACCACGTTGATACACCAGCGAAGTAGCCAAAGTATATTTTTGTAAAAACAGCAACCAGAGTTTGGCAATCTTTGCTGCCCTTCCCCACCGGATAAAAAATCCCTCATGGTACATAGCAGACATTGCCGTGTTCATTGCCGAAGTCCCCACAGCCTGCATATGGCCAACTTGGTACCCCAAAAAAAACAATGCCATTAGCACTTACCAACCCCCCCAAAAAAAACACAACAAAAATTGGACATACTGAAACATTAGTCGATGAAATCAATCCCAAGGACTATGGCTTGAAGTAAAGGGTCATCTGCCATCTCAGTAGACCATCTTTGGCACAGGTCATCTAGAAACAGAAAAAAGTGTGTGCTAGCACTCCCCTTGTTCCAAGCACCAACAGGGCAAGTGCTCGATTGAGGCCAATTAAGTGTTTCTCTTCCAAGTTCTTCACAATGCGGACTGATCCTTTTCCGGGCACAGACATTTTTGTATTCCGTGTTCAAGAAATCAATCTTTTCATCCATGGATCCACCTGGAAAGTCAAGGTTTTCGATCATAGATACCAGTGCACTGGCAACCCAATGCTTTGCCAATCCTAAATGCAAATTGTGCCATACATCCGTTTTGAAGAACTGCCAATGATCTTCTTCTCTCAATGGAACACCTTGTAGTATTGGAGGCACTTCGTCCCATGCATCACAGTCACCCAAGGTTCCCTCCCACAGGGGTTTTCCCGATGTATCCTCATACGGTATGTGTGGTAAACCTAATGTCGGATTTGCCTCTTGGCCAGCTTTACACATCCAACATATTCCTTCACAGGGTTTTTTGCTTTGCGCCGCTTTGGGCACATTCCCAAAAGTATGCTTCATGTTTCCCATTCGAGCCAATGCTGGTAGGTCCCCTTTGGTCCCTAAATGACAGCAACGGACACGGACAGAGCCATTCCCACTCACCACCCCATTCACCAAAAGGTCTTCCATGTCTTTGGCGTAGACACTGACCAAGTGATCTAATACCTCAGGCTTCTTCTTGTAGAGCTTCCGCAGCATGCACGAGAACATGAAATTTGTACTCCATGTGTGGCCACAAAAATTCAGGCCAAAACCATTTCGTCTCAAAGGAAGTCGATCTTTGCCCTTCTTGAGATAGGCTTTGGTACCTCGCCCTAGGGCCCCATGAGTGCTTAGCAGCCACAACGGTTGTTTCTTGTATGACCTCCCTTCATCAGTGTGCGAAAAAACTGGCACAACAAATCGCAAATCAACAGCTCCAGCATCCCGCATAGCAAAGATTTGGTGAGTAGGAAAAATTGCCTCATAGCGATCCCAGAATTCTTGTAGTGCAATTTGCATACTTTCCAAACTATCACAGGCACAAAGTAGGCGTGGTAGTCGGTCACTATCCAGCAAGTATTTCACCCATGAGGAAAACTTGATGTATGGAAAGCCCTTGTACCGCTTGGCATCAGCGAGATCAACTTTGTCAATCTGCATAGGTACGGTAAGACCATGTTTCTCTAAGACTTTGTGGGCCCTTTCTTCAGCATCACCTTTCCTAATACTCGCGAACTCTCTCATAGCCGGGGTAGCTTTGGGATTTTCCTCCACCTCAGCAGCGGCTAGCTCCACCACATAGCTCATAGGTTCCTCAGAGAACAGGCTGGTACAAATGGAGAATATGATGGGATGCTCATACATCCCAGGGGATAAGGGGTGGCTGTGAGAGAAGCTTGATGCAGGCATGTTGAAAATCACAACTTTGATCCAAGTCGAGATTGAATCAGCACCTGCTTTTTTCCCAACATCGCGCACCCCAGAGATTTGAGCTAGCAGCATGGCGGTTTCTCAGCCAACCCTTCTTGGTTGATCAGCCCTGCCACCAGTGACATATAAAAAGAATGGAGGCTCAGGAGCGTTGCCTTTGTTCAAAGCCCCCTCACCCCCAGACTCATGTTGGTTTCTGCAGCCAACATGAGAACTAAAATGGGAAATGCATGCAGCTTCCAACATTTGAATTGAATCAACGCTATGGGATTTCGAAATCACCCACATGGAATCGAACCCTTGGTCAAGATAGGAGAGAAATCTTTGGGGAGGGTTCGAGGTAATGCCAACTTTGAAAACAGTGATTCTCACCCCTTTTTTTCCTCGAAATGCTGTAATTTGCGACCTGGCATGAGCCAAGATTTTACCACATGTAAACGATCGGCCGACCACAGGCCTCATGCAATGATACAGCAAGCCACATGGACGAACTGATGTCCAATCAAAAGTCTCAGCATCAAAATTTTCAGCCACGGTAGTGAGCGCAGCAGTCACGTCATGAAGGTTTTCCTGAGTAGCCAAGACTGGAGATGAGGAAAAATGAGGGCTAGGGCTCCACAAATTAAATGTTGAAAATCCCCTAAATGTCCCACAAAATAAATATATCTATCACATATGGGGTGTAATGCACAGATTAAGGTTTTTTTTTACTTTTAACATGCACCAAATGGATGCCATGGTGCCACATGGGTGGCGCTGAGCTCTTGCTTTGAAGGACCGCTGGGGTGCTCACTCTCTGGTGGGTCAGCCCTGGTGAAATAGTCCATGTGGGGACAGGATTCCATATCCAGAGCATGTAGGTCAGGCATTATATCATACTCAAGGCGAGGCTGCCTAAGATAACCAAGAACAAAATAATCGCATAAGATGTTTGATTGTTTGACTATGTCTCACATTTTCCAGATTGTAACTTGCCAGGAAACACAACATAAAAATCAGACAAGGAGCTTCGGGGAATTGCGGCAAGATTCCACAGTTTCCGCAAATGTTGCTGCCCGCTTTCCAGATGGAAAAACCAACAGCTCATCCAGCCAGTCGTCCATGTTGGGAAGCAAATAAGTTTCGCAAGCACCGTTTTTTTTGAGAACAGATTTAGAAACTTTGGCTAGGCATGTTTTAGAAGACTTAAACCCAACAAATGGGAATGTATCATCTAACAGATTGGGCCAATGATATTAATTAGTTTTCTCCCCACAGCTGTCGAAACACAAAAGCCATTCGATGCAATGCCTGTTGATCCTGTTGATCATTATTGAACCCATGGCTGAAGAATGATGAAGAAGAGGATTGAAATGACAAACCAAGTTGCATGCCATGATCTTCATTGTACAACACCGGCAGGACTGGGGAAACGACTCCTCGAGCTGCAAAGTTCGCCAAGCGCTCCAGGACACGCCCGGGCTGTTGCTCCTGGCGAGCACCTGGCACAATGGGGGTAATCTAATTGAAGTATATACTGTATATATAACATTCAGATCAAATAATAAGAAGGCATTGCAATGGGGAGCCGCTGGCAAGAGTAAATTTTCAACTCTTCTCGATGCGGTTTCAACCTTGTGATCTTCAGACCATATGTACGGCATCCATGTTGACGCCATGAAAGTTTAAAGCACGTGCGTTGCACATGGTTTCCCCAGAGGCCCAAGCTGGACCCAAAGACTTCGATTGATGAGCTCTATAGCCCATTCCAAACATTTTTAGCCTTCTTTTTTGAAGGCTACCCCAAACATTTTCACGGGAAAGCTCACCAGCGAGCCCTGGCGCTGAAAGGCTATCCCATCACACCATATCAGACCCTCACATCCTGGACGCAGGATCACTTCGTCAGCATCTTCAGCACATTCCTGAGAGACAAGGAGCCAAGAAAGGGTATGGGGAGATGTTTCGCTTTTACATGCACCAAAGCCCAGTTTTTTTTTGTTTGACTATTCTCATGTTATTTCATTCATGTTGGAACCCACTGCCCAATCGAATGAATGGAAATCAAAAAGTTAGTGGGCCAAAAGTCTTTGCAGTAGCCTCAGCCGTGGTGACCTTTGCACAAGCTTGCTGAGTCTTTTGGATCTGATCTTCCATTTTGGCGATCAACCTCAAAGTGGCACGTGATATGAAGGGGGTAGAGCACTATGACCTTATTCCCATAAGTAACCCCATCATTATAGGTCCCCATTGATTTTTATTCCAAATATGTATTGAAAAAGATATGAGTGATATGAGGATCACCATATTCCCTAATGTAAGCAGGCAACGGTGCTGCCTTTGCATCATCAAGCTTCCCACCCTTTAACTTCTCCACTTCAACCTTGGTTTTTTCCACGGCCTCAAACTCACGCTCCAGGATTTCCATCGCGGCCTCCAAGCTTTTTTGGGACCTGAGCGAATGAGCGGGAACCCAGAGACAGGGGTAGGTTGGCATTGAAAATAACCATCATTCTAGAATATAGGATAAAAGAATTCATCAGCATTATCAAATTACAATTTGAGGAAAAAAAAATCCACCAAAAAATATAGGAAATTTGGGCCAAAGACTTTTTGACTCGCTCACGATGTGGGCTGTCTTGATCATGTTCTAGGATCGCTTCATCCAACTGACCAGATAGATCACTTAACTTCGTAGTCTTGGAAAGCAAGGAGTCACCAAATTTTTTCAACGATGCATACTCCTGGATACGTTGCCAAAACAGGATAGATGTACCCCCAACATTATTATAGTTTCACATGGGTCATAAAATTATAGCATCCCATTCTTGATTGAAACAAATTTGTGTAATATACCACGGCTGCATATACAATATATATTTTTTAATGCCTTACACAGCAGCTTTTAGATTGATTTGTTCGATATAGCTCGAAGCTATGCATGCATATATACAAGTATCATATATTAATATGTATGCGGATTATATTTGATATAATATATAAAACCAACCCCAATGTTTTAGGCATTCACTCCTGAATGCCCGTCACCGGTTCTGCATCCTGTGGTGAATTTTCATCTTCCTCCGGCTCAGAGCCCTCAGCAGGAACCAAATCCTCACGGGTCCTTTTGGGATTCAACTTCTTGAACTTCACCGGGGCATTGGCTGCCTGCCAAACTCAGTGGGGATAACCAGTATAGACCAACCAAGATAGCTGGGGTCAGTGGATCATTAAAGAATTATGGTTAGATAGATTAAATATATATAAATATGACCCATTCATATTTACATTTTGAGTTTTGGAAATTGTATATATAGTTGGTAAAATTGTTGGCCTGGCATGATATGACAAATCTGACATGCAATATATGCACCTGCATGTGCAGAGAACACAGAAGTAGAGATGGACCCTTTGATTGATGTTATAATTTCTTGCAGAACACCCACATATGTTTTCAAACAACAAACAAGGAACCACGGTAAAGTGGACAAGAATCAGCACACACACACAGACACACACGGACTCACCTTCGTAGACGTCTTGACATACCGCTCCAAATCCTCGTCGACGCTCTCATCCTCCTCGTCGATCTCGACATGGTACTTGTTGATGTCGGAGTTGTACTTGTCCTTCCTGAGTCAGGGACACATTGAAATTCACAGGGTTCTGGGTAAAGCGTTCGCTACCGAAGAGTTTCATCCCCCCCGATGGACCTTTTTTTTGATCTTTGTTTGCAAAAGCACTAGTCCATTTAAACTTTAAACATAGCCTGTCCAGGCATGCATAGAATATAAATATTGTCATATGTATAAAATATTTTATACACAGATAAAAATCATAAGCTGCATGCATGCAAACAAGAGAAGTATAAATGCAAATCGATATACATGCATGCAAATATCGACCAACACACCTAGTGGCAAGTGTCTTCACCAGAGATTCATTCCCCTTGCGCTCGCAGAACTTGACCACACCAGCAATGTAGGACCTCAGTTTCGCTTTGCAGGTTTAGCAGATTTGGGGCCCAGTAGGTCTGTTGAGATAGAATCAGCTAACCCCCATATGTTGCTTGTATCTTGTAGGGTTTTTGGGCTTGATAAGAGATGGCATGACTGAACCAAATGTGTTGGTAGAATGGCTTCAAGACATTGTGAGGCCACATATGCAGCCTAGTTACTTGGACCAGCCCAACTTTACCTTCATCTTCTCCTTGGTATACCAGCCTCTCTTTTTTGTGCGCACTGTCTTGTTCATCTTTTCCCGCTGCTTGGTCATGGTGCTCACAAAGCGGTCCTGGTAAACACATGCTTGTAAAATATACAAAACATATGTTAAACATGACAACTCATGTAAGGTTGTGGAATCAGTCTCCCACCCAAAGGAATCCAAGAATGCACTGGAACTGGCCACTTGTAATCATTCCAAAGCAAAATTGATGCTCAAACAAGATGCGCTCTAGGTATTGCAAGATTATCTCATATATTATGTAGTATATATTGATGATGATGTAGTATATATTGATCATCAAGATCATCGATCATACCACGCTAATGGGAGATTGGTCAGTCCTTGTCCCAACCACAAGCCTCAAGTTCATCACGAAGAGCCAAGCGGTCAGTACCCCCTTTCTTCCATCTCTGATGGATTTCCTCACTTACATGGCATCGACCACTTGGCTTCACCTCACAGATTCTCCGTAACCTATTGTTTTTGGCTGCCTCAGTGTTGGGTTCATCCTCATCCCCATCATTCCCAGTCACCTCAGGCTCTTCAGCCTCTTCAGCCTCATCAGCACCGCGGCGGCGCTTGCCAGAGGCCGTGGCTGGGGATGGGCCAGAGACTTTGCGACCAGGGGGTGTGAAGGTAGAGGAAGCACGACTGGAAGTAGGCTTTTTCTTTTCAGCAGCTTCAAGCTTCTTCTGCAACACCTCTAGCTCTGCCCTCAACTTGGCTTTCTCCTGCAAGTAGGGGACAGGTTTCCACAATGTGTTTTTGCTAGAAATTATGGGGGCACCAATCATATGAGAGTATGAGCCCCATTGCATAGAGAAAACGATACATATTTTGTGGGTTGTAGCACGATGAGCCGAAGATTGAAATAACCATAACCATTGGTCCCATACTTGAAGAAGTTGGTCTGTTCATGGGAAAACCATCAGCAACAAAGAAACCCATTCAGGGTATGACGGTTTGCTCCTGGTGAATTGAACGTCCCCTCCACAACTTGAGTTCATGAGCTGCTAACATTCAAAAATTAAGACCGTTGTGTGCAAACCCGCTTCAAAATATTAGAAACAACATCCAGATGGTGTCCAACAAATGAAGAATAAAGATGGTAACTGTTCAACTATTTTTTTTGACGCATGCCTGCATGGGCTGATGCTGCGCAATCTACTTTTTTCAGGTTCAAGATGACAACATGCACCATCAGGATATTAGTGATTCATACTGCACTAAATATGCATGGGATATTTAGATTTCATTGGTCAGCAATGCCCCAAAGAAGACTTCAAAAGACTGTGAACAACTTTTTGGTGACGGTGGCAACCAAATTTTTGTCAATCAATAGATCAACTAAATACTGAAATTTGGGGACCATCATAGCATGACCCGCACCACCTCCACAATCGACCTCGTCCAACACAGCAGCTGGATCAGGCGACCCTTTCTTTGCAGCAGCTTCAGCAGGTGGCTTACGAAGGCGCTTGGATGGCTGGGAAGGTTCAGGGGCCTCCTCAGCTGCCTTTGTGTTCTTCTCTTTGGGTTTGGGAACAGCTTTCAAAGCAACACTAGGACCATCCGAATCCTTCTGAGCTCCATTGGACTTCTTCCCAACATCCTTTTTTTTATCCCCTTTGGGATCTTTACTGGGGGGCGCAGCTTTGGACTTACAAGCACGACCCCTGGACGGAAACCTTTCGTGCAGCTCTTCTTCCGTTGCCTCAGTTACAAAACCAAGGGATAGAGAGCCAAATAAGTCGATGGTTCATGGTATCGATATAAAATACATACATATAAAATTCAATAAGGGCAAAAAACACAAAGTTCCATAATCAGTATATGAAATATATATGTACACTTTGCATGAAAACATGTTGTTCACCGCACCAGACTTTGATGCAACTAAGGTGCAGGTTGGGTCTCTTCCTGCAAAATAAGATGTGAGGCAACTGTTTGGGGTTGATAGAAACCCAATCCTTTGAACTGGAACCCCATTTGTATTTTAAATCTTCCAATCCCGGTCTCAGCCTCGGCAGCTTTTTTCTGCTTTTCTTTCAAAGCCTTTACTTGTGCTTCATATTCCTGGGAAAGGGTTGATATGACCACTATGTTATTCACATATATAAGCAATGGCTGAATGACCCATGCCATCACATGATATGAAAGAAGCATGTATGGGATCCTTGATCTTCGCGTCAAACTCATCAGGGTCATTGCCTTCCCTCTTGACGGCAAGCAACTTCTTATGCCCTTTCTCTAGTTCTGAGCAACTGTGGACTTTGGACTCCAGCCGGGTACTTGGCGCCATTGCAGGCCTATGACAAGCCAATCACCTAATGTGACCGGGCCCTGGCAGCGAGGATCTGAAAGGGCTGTGGGACAAAAACATGTGTAAGACGCATGTGTGCACAAGTTTTGGTTTGAACACGTGTAAACCACTGGTTAGTAACTCAATCTTCATCATTTCAAGAATGATGTGTGTTGCCACTCTTCAGAACATCAAAAAAAAAGCTTTGAAATGGCATTTTTTGGTGATGTTCCCAGTACGGGAAAAGTACGTAAAAAGTACGGGTTTTCATACGGGAAAATACGGCCTTTTACGGGAAAGTACGGCACTTTGTACGGGTGTACGGTTTCGTACGTACTTAGTACGTACTTAGTACGTACTTTCCAAAATCATGGATCCCTATGATAATCCTATTAAAAACTTGTTAAAACACTGTTGAAACATATCAAAAGTATAGAATGCTTGGGAAAAAGATCTGGTCTTCTGATGTGGTCCCTTCTTTGAAAGGTTTCCCCAAGAGAATTGATTTCATTGGCTAAGTCCAGGGAAGAACCCGGGATAACAAACTCTTTTCCAGTGACGCAATCAGGGCTCTGGTCGGTCAAAGAAGCTAATTCTCCACATCCCCACATCCATTGGGTTGCCTTGAATTTGAACAGGACATATAGCTGCAGTGGGTATCCCAACTCTAGCTAGCAGTCCATGGGATCAGTCATGTTTGATCTGATCATAGCTCTGAAGGGAAATATTGGCGCCAGCTACCCAGGTTCAAGCTACAGTTTCCCCGTGCGTAGGCCAGCACGGAAACCATATTCCCATCCTCCCAAGTGTCAGCTTGCCAGTCAAGGCTGCCAAAGAATTGCTGCGTGTCCATCGCCGCCATCTCAGCAGGAACCTCAGGTGGTGCAGACCTGGTTTCCACCAAGTGGGGGAAGAGCTTCACCAAGCGTAGTCCAAAGTGAGGAGGATAGGTCCTGAGCGCAATGGAAGTGGTATCACAGTTTCCGGTATGGTATTATGGGATATGTATGGATATGTACAGTACATACCGTATATTATATATATAATATATTATAGAGCTTAAATTGGCATTCACAAGACCATAATTGAATTTAGTACTTTTTGGGGATCAACTGCATCAATGTTCCTTTGAAAATCTGAAACATACAAGGAATTTGCCTTGAGGGCAGCTGCTGACCACAACAGTTGTTAACAACTGGAATGAAAAGTATAAGCTGGGCACAACATGAAACAACTAAGCACCTCACCCGGTGCCACGAAGTTGGGCTGTCCCAGAATAGGTCTTACGACCTTTTTTGTTGACCTTGATTGTAGCACTCTTTACACCAGTACGGGCAATCTCTCGCCTCTCATCTTTAGTCAAAGGCCCCTTATCCAAACCACCAATCTTGCGGGAATTGCTCCAGCAAATGTGGCGCTTTGGGGTACAACCAGAGTAATGGCCCATCCACCATCGGCACACAAAGACCTTCATGGGGAGCGCTGAACAAACAACAAAACAATTGTTTAGATTCCAAAACTAATTTCTGATCCATTAGATGATCTTTTTTTAAGGCATTGGATTGGCCCGATCAAAGAGTGTTGTTTTTTCATGTTTTTCACTCTCAGTTGTCCCCTATCAAACAATTATCCATCGTTCTTTTGAATATATAGTGGTTTAATTTTGAACCATTATTTGGAGAACCCCCGGCCTTGTTAAATCGCCGAAGGATGGCACGGAGTCTGGGGTGGTACCAAACCAAAGAGGATACAGGCTGCTCCACAACCCATGCTGCCCCAATAGCCTGTAAGGCCATGAGTAGAAGCGACACCCTCAGCAAAGAGGTATGCAGAGGGGAGGGATGAGGGTGGCTTGTGTCAGTATTTGGATCCCCAAAATTCAGCACCTTAACCATATATTGAAAGGGTTGGACCAATAACCCCAAACAAACGGAATGGATAGATAATAAAAGCCCAAATGGATTATCAGTTTTATATATCTTCTGCTCACAACAGTAAATTCCACGTAAATGGGTGATTTTTCCAATGCAATTCTTGCACACTGTAAGCTAGTGCAATAAAAGACCATTAACTGAATCAGTGAACATTCCTTTGAAATAGGTAAATAACATGTTATTCCCATATGGGTATTTCTCAAAATGGGGATGCTCGAAAATACCTAAAAGTGTTAAATTTGGAATATTTTCGAGCATCACCCATGTAGGGAAGTACCCATAATTCATGATGTACATTACATATACCCATGCATTCATACTTAAAATTGTTGAATGTTCACAACCAAAAGTATTCAAACAATGATCCATATCATGTCCCAAAAATCCCATGACGATGTTACATTCCAGTATTCTTGGCTCCCATATATTTTAACTGAAGCGAGTGTCCTTGTCGCGAGCATGTTGCCCAGCACAACATGAGGTCGGGATTGATCACCCAAAGGGGACATCATAGAACGACAATGGGTCGCAGCATTTATTGCCACAAATGATGAGCACAGCAATCCAATGAGGCATACGGAGTTGTCGAACTTCATGTTCAATATCGAAACCAATGCCAAACTTAGATGCACAACCATGGGGAAATCATGGGCAATCCCATGGAGATAAGTGGGCTAAGGCAAATTAAATTTTCTGATGGTTAAAGTGAGGTCCAAATACCATTACTTGAGTGATGGGCCTATAAGCCATATCTTTAATATAGCCCGAACATATTATAAAAGATCATCCCCACTAGAAACAATAACAACCTTGACGAAGTACGAGGGTCCAAAGGCTTTCGGGCCACATGTTTAGTTTTTCCCTGGGCAGACCAAACCAAACAAAAAATAACTCCGGCGTGAATTTTCCCCAAAACATTATAAGCCCCAACAGTAACAGTATCTTTTGGTTTTCCTGGTGCCCCATGCCAATTCAATGCAGTCAGCATTAGTCAATAATGTTTTGGATGTTGGGATGTGAAAAGGGGGAAAAAATCTAGAAGCCAGGGGGCCAGAAACCACTGTCTGTTGTCAGGTCCATGGCATTTTGCTTTAAAGGCTCAGGGTTCCCCAAAAGGATATCGAACTTGGCAATGGTATGCCCTGTTGCGGCCATGGAATCCGCCACCCATCCCCGCCCACAGAACAGCTCGATGTAGTCGTAGGTCTGCGGGGCAGTCAAGCAGCTGCAAGGCCCAAGCTTGGCTACCCCAGGGCTACCACTATGGAATGGGATTTAAAACATCCAAGATCACCCAAGTATGGTATTTTTTGATAAAAGTCAAACCATATGTCTATCCGAGACCTGTTGAATCTCGATTTCTAAGTTTACCTGTTTCTATTTTATATACTTAAGCTTATAAAGCTTATAAAGCTTATAAAGCCAGAAATTATATCCAATAAATGGAGGGGTATGAAAATCGATCCACAAGGGGTTGATGCCAACTCTGCAGGACATTGCAGGACAGGCCCCTAGTCTTGCCAGATTTGAATCCAAACATGAAACTTAATTCTGATGATTTTATTATATTTACATCCAGAAACAGAATACTTGCCCCTCAAGCACTTCACAAGAGATAGTCCCCTTATGTCAATAAATGGTTGTTGTATGTTTATGCTATTCTGATTGTTTTTTTTTGTTTTTATATCCATTGTTTGTCACAGTCACTCCCGTATGGTAATTGCAATGGGGTATCTAACGTTTCCAATTTCATTATTTTCAAGCACCAGGAAACAGATGCTATATAGACCAATGTAATCTCGGATGCGATTCTTTAATAAGAGTTTGGTGAAGGTGTTGGCACAAATGCCCTTGTCCAGCCTCCAGATATGTTTCAATATTCTGGGACAAGGAGAGGAGCACCGTTAATCCCAAGAGCACCTGCAAGATGCGGTGGGGCTAGATAAAAAGGGATGATACGGGCGAAAACCATGTTGGGCTAATCTTGCCAAAACCAGATTGTCACAAATAATTTGATGAGTATGAGATTATACTATAGATTCATGGGATGCCAAAGGTCAGGGATTTAGTGGTGCCCTGGCAAGCTACTCTTCAATCTTGGGTTTATAGCTGATTTTTGAGTTCCTTCGACCTGAAAAAGAACAAAGTTGTTTAGATACCTGGTGTATATATTATAACTGCATATATATCTATATATTCTACACAGGCATTGATTTTGCTATGAGGTGTTTACATCCCATTCCTCCATCGGTAAACCATTTCCCAATATCCCAAAGATATTTGGCCTTAGGGGCTCCAAGCAGGTGCATCCTCTTCAGAATTGTATCCAGCTTGCAGGTTCTTTCCATTGTGGCGAACGCACCACCAGCAGTGAACAATCCGAGTCTGGAGCCCAAACACTAAATTGACATGGGTAATTTCTGGTGAACGTTGAGAGCTGATGGAACAAATCTCAAAAAAAAATCCACTCCAGCCCATCATGTTTTTCAATAAATATTTCATAAGATCCCCCAAGCTGTCAGATGGGAAACATGCCCGCTAGACGCTTCGAGCTAGCTCCATAGTCATCAGGACGCAAACGGCGTTTCCATCCCAGCCCTCGAACCATGCCTTTTGCGCAGCAAGGCCATTGGCCTCAGAAATTGACAAACTGGTGAGAAGCGTGGACCCCAATTGGATTTTGGGATTGGAGGTAGACATGATGTGAGGGGCACAATTACACACGGAACAGTGTTATTAGTATGCTAAAGAAACATCATGAGAGTGTATGTTCACTATTTGATCCTGCTTAGTTTTTTAGATGGTCCTTGTGGATTTGAGACTGGGATGGGATGAATAAGTAAAGCTGCATAGTCAAGATTTTCACTATGGTGGCAACCATAGAAACTGTATTGGAGATGTGGACCTATTTCTTGTGGTTTCTTTTAGGGAGGGCCCAACGGTAGAACCTACACTTTTCTCAAGACTCCGGCAAAGCTACGATTTGAAGGCTGCAGCTTCAATGACACTGTGGCCAGCTGCATAGCAAGTCACCACCACACTGTCTCATCATCCTTCCCATGCCCAAATGAAACTAATGAGATATCAAAAAGTATGTCTATAACACAGGTACCTACAAATTTGAAAAGAGGATTGAAACCAGTATACTACATAGCATGCTAAGGCTAAGGGCATGGAATGTTTACCCCAAATGTACATTGTGGTTAAAACTGCTAGCACTACACTGAGCCAAACCTAAGTCACTCGGCGCTGCATGCTCACAGGTCCCAGCATGAGCACATATCTAGAAAAGCTACGCTGGGCATATTGTTCCACTTGTTCACATGGCCAATCTTCAGACCATCAAATCACATCTCAAAAGTTTGAAGCCATTCTGGCTTCATGGATTGGGCAGCGGCTACGAGGGGCAAACCTTATCCCCAAGGGATGAATTCCCCAAACGACGTAATTCAAAGGTTCAAAAATTAATACGATTGGGCCCAAGTTTGTTTGCAACCAGATTTGAAGAACTGTTTTTTGTTGGGTTACATGGGGCCATCAATATTGTTATAATCAAATAGGGTCAACATCCCATGGCTGCTCCCTTGCTGACTGCCACATGGCAACCTAAGGCCTCAGATGATGCCAGTCCTTCGAATCTGGTCAAGATAGGCCTTCGCTCCACTGTGCGCCTCCGCAAGGATGTTGGATTCGGTCACCTCCTTGTTGGCCCAAAGCTGGGAGCAGAAGGTCCAGTAGTAGTCCTGCAGAAGCATGGCTAAATGGGAGATAGTTTTGAATCCAGAGTTGCATAGTATAAAACCAGGGTTGGATGTATAGTTTGATATATAGCATTTTAGATTGTTCTTTTTGAATTTGGGAGAGTGTCAATTTGAACGTGGGATTGGATAGTTTTGGCTTGTTTTAATTGTTGTCTTGTGTAAGGGGTCTTAGCAGGATTCATTACCAAAGCTCAACTGAAAATGGGGATCTGAAAGATTTCAAGAATAAAGGTCATATCGTCTATTTGGCTCGAAGGTACGTATGTGAGAAGAATGGCAAGAGATATCGAAGGGCTCCAGGGTCAAAACGATGGTTAGTGGGTATTCCCAAGACTTGTCCAATCTAGCCACCAGCAAACCTGAAAACTAATAGTCCTCGTGGGCACTGTAGGATTTCAAATGGGGTTTGATCTTCTGCTCGAATGCGGTGTGAAGGGCATCCCACTTGAGCTGACCGAAGGACTGGGTAGTAGGTCTCCTTCGCTTGGCAAAACACTTCAACTTCTTCACCTCACCCTTGCCTCCTTTCTCCCCCTTCTCGGTCTTCTCCACCTTCTTGGCCACCTGCTCCCCAGATGCGGTTCGCCGGCCAGGCTTGGTCTTGGCACTTGAACTCTCACCCGTTGGGACAGGCTTGGCTCTCTTGTTCAGCGGCTTGGAAGGCTCAGGCTCACCCACAGGCACACCCACACCATCAGTCTCATGATCCACCTCACTCATCTTCCCCCGCTTGGTTCCCTTGGCTTTGGGAGAAGCTTTGGGCTTGGTCGCATGTTTGCGCGTCTTGGGAGTCTTGGGGTTCTCGGCATTCTTGGTGTTCTTGGCGGCTTTCTTGGCGGTCGACTTGGCCTTTGCTTTGGGATTAGCGGATGGTTTCCTTCCCCTCTTTGACTTCGCAGGCTTCTGTCCATCAGGGCATTCATCTCCATCGGTAGTGGCCTTCTTGAGGCTGAATTGCATACGGCGAAGGACCTAAGATAATTTTCAACCATATGAGGACGATAGCTACAAACTTGGTTTTTGGTAAATGCTAGAAACTTTTGTAGGGGTTATGGACTTGGATTTTCTTTTGGAAAAAGTAGTGTACCAAATTCTTCAGCGCAACAACTTTTCGAATAGACAATGGACTACAAAGGAAAGGCAAGATGCTAGAGAACCAGGGCTAGATTCCAAGTTGGGTTCTTCAGGAATCTCCTTGTTCAATCGATCAGCTATTACCTGGATGTCTTTGTCAGGCATTTCAAGGGTGTCCATGTTATCAGCACCATATGGAAGGCTGTCTTGAACCAGGATGGGATCATGTTCAGCCTGCAAAGACTTCAGCGCATTCCTTGGTTATTGAACGAGCCAAAAATCAAAACACGTTGCTGGCAATAAACAACATCATCAGATTGGTCATGACGATTTTGTGGGGTTAATTCAGACTTGAATTGATTATGTTTGAATATGTTTGATTCAGGGAAAATTGTAGACTCATTGAAACAGAAGAGCAACTGTTTGAAAATATATGGTACTTATATTCAAATCCTAGGGTCTTAGCTGCTTGACGGCGGCGAAGCTCAACAATTTGCTTTTGCAGCCACTCTAGGTTGTTGAAGTTATCTTCATTCTTATTGGTTTTCTTGTGGCCAGACCCCGATGAGGAGGAACCACTCACAGATTCATCATCACCACCCTGGCCATCCCCAGCCCAACTCTTGTCCTCGGGGGTCTTGTCTTCAGGCGTGCCGGGGTCCCGGGGGTTAAGGTCAACCTTCTTGTCCTCGGCAATCTGTCGCTCAATCTTCTTCTCATCATCTTCATCATCCTCCATGTCACTCTCAAAGTCGAACTTCTTGTAGTCGGGAGTCCCAAGGTCATCCTTCCCGTCCACCATGTCAGGGGCCAAGGAGGTGTCCTGCGTCATGAGGAACTGCTGATCCTGGTTTTCTTTCTCTTCCTCCTCAGCATTCCAAGGGTTCACAGAGTCCTCGGCTGCGACCATAAGTCTTTCAAGGAAAGCATTTCCAACATCCGGTTGGCTTGGCGGGGGTGATCCAACCACAGCCTCATTCGAAGCAGGGGTCTCATTATCAGAGTCTGAGTTGATGGTAAGAGGGATGTTGTCACCATCGTCATCCTCCTCATGACCACCATCCACATTCCCATCCTCAAGCGCTGGAACTTCTTCAATTGGCTCATCAGGTACTGCAGAATCTTCTTCGGCATCGGGTTCATAGCTGTCAGGATCCTGGCGGTTGGGTTGAGCACGTGGTGGCATATGATGATGGCCCCTTCATAAAGGAAATTATATTTTTTAATTCCATTATAGACTTGAAACTTGAAACCACCAAAATTCGATCATAGAAATTCAGGAACTTTTATTTTTGCATTCAATGGCAAAGGGTGCTGTTGGTTTGGACCAGTCCTCACCGGTCAGTGCGGCCATCAACTTTCGAAAATGTTTGCTTCTGGCGACCTGGCCCCGGGCGCATTTGCGCTTGACTAGGACGAAAAAATTTTTCACCCACCATGCATCCAACTTCACTTGTTGTCGGTTAGCAGCATTCGGAGTGACCATGGTGAACAGCTCCAGGATCCTTAGGATGGTTGGGAATGGGGATTTGATATTGAAAGTGAATATGTTCCCATTGAACAGCAATTTTCCAGGCATGTATATATCATAAGGGCTTTGAATCGATAGTATATATATAACATAGGTATTAATATGCAATCACTATAAGATTCAGAAGGCCCTTGTGTTTCTATAACCAGACCTATTCAGGTTAACCCATAAAAACCATAACCCATTGCTTACATATCAATAACCCCAGGATGGAACTCCCATACTTTATCAACAATCTACCCCTTGAGTTAAAACATGTTAAAACCAAACAAGTCAGAAGAGGGTGCGAAAGTAATACAACAAATGAACGAGGAACTCCTTTTCAAGGGCTGGAATCCCACACATGCCGACATCTCCAGATTCTGGGTCCACTAGCTTCTTGAGCACTGGGAGTAAAATCTCAGCATGATATTCGGCACCATGGATGTTACATTCCATCTTCTTGCCACCAACGAAATCTTCAAATAGGACCCCTCGATCCCTCACGCGGTCTCTGATGGAGCGGATGGCTTCCCATTCAGCGGCCACACCAAGAATATCCATATTGGTTGCCATGATAGCAAGGCAAGGGTACGGCCACTGATCCAAATCACTGCGATGACCGGCATTTTTTTGTGGTGGATCAAAAAGGGGGAACAACAGATCCTACATGGGGGAAACAATAGATTCAATCACTGCTATTTTTGTTTTCAGAAGTTAATAGAGGCACAAGGCTGACCTGATAGCAATTTACAAATCAGATGCCCCAAAAATGCACAACCCTATTGGATATGAAGTTGACTCAGCCTTCCTGAGCCCAGTCATCCATGTTGGTTGATCCTGGCCCATACCATCCCCAAGGCCCTGGCTTTGCCAATGTTGAAACCGAAGAAGTTGGCGTGGGGTCGAGCGAAAAGGGGCTCACTGCTGGCGGTGGAGTAGTGGTAGAATCCAAATTGGCACACCATGGTGCCCCCTATTGAACCAATTAAGTTAACGGAAACAAACCCGTTTATTTTTCTCCATGGTTTGGATCCTTGGTGGCACTAAGATGGGTCAACTTGGAAGATTTTGATGGTGGCATTCTATGTGAATCCCTTGGCGGGTACATATAGCTACCATAAAAGAATATAAGATATATAATATAACACCAAAAGGGATGGAACATGTTCCATGATTGTGTGGGAAGTGTTGTGAATGCACCTATCCAGTTCATTATCATTACAAAGTAGGTCCCATCTCAAAAGTACGGCCCTTTTGAAGAAATACAGGTTTTTTAATTGAAAACCTGGATTTTTTGAAAGGCATGCAGTTCTAGAGGACACTGGGGATACAGGTACATACATATATATAGTATAATATAATATATCTCTTTTTGGTGGCAACAAAATTTATTTTGAACTTGAGCAGCTGCAATGGATTTAATCCTCCGCTGTGAAGAACTTGAAAGCTCAGCCCTGGAAGCACCTTCTTTTGTGATCAGTCTGAGTTTCTGTTGGCACCTGAAAGCACAGGTTGCAACTTATGATACACCCAGAAGTGATTCGCGTGGCTGTTGCTCTAAAGAGATGGTGAAGCATCTCAAAGACATAAACCCAGAAGAGCCATGCTAGTTGACTTGGAGGCTTATTTGATAACATTTTGTTGAAAGGCATACCATGCAACTTGTATGATCATGCAAGTTTACTAGGTTGATGTAACGTAAGGTCTACACACAAAAGTTTCAACGGATGAACGGCTGAATTCTGGGAGAAGTTGAGTAACTTGGAGGACGGCGCCTCAGAGCGAGCAATGTTGGAAGCACAACTGGCTCAGGCTTGGTGCCAACGGCCATGGGTGCCCATGGGGAGTTGACCAACCAGATCCAACAAACATGGGGATGTTGGCTCTAAAATGTTGGAGGATTGATTGTGGAATACTGTGAAATCATGCCCAGAATCCTGTCGGGTTGGTGGGTTCGCTAAAAATCTGGTGCTGAGTCACGTGATTAAATCGTTTCTCCCATAGTTGCTTTTGCTTCGGGAACAGGTGGTTCAGCAGCTCAAAACTGCAGAGGAGGAGGGTGAGGCGCAAAGGATCAGTGGTTTGCTTTGAGAATTGGTACCTGGCAGCCCAACATGGACATCTATATAAGACTATTGGAACAAAGCAACGCACTAATGTGGTCAAACAATAATAAACTGTCCCAATTTCACCATAAATGGGTTGTACAAACCATCAAATTGGGGTCGTTTGTTATTGTTTCAACCACATTGCGATATTTTGCGATTGATATCAGATTTGGGAGCATTGCAGTGTGTCAACGCACATGATATGCTCAGAGAGAGAGAGAGAGAGGGAGAGAGAGAGAGAGAGAGTGCAGTTTCCCTTAGCCTTTCTGGGACAGTCTGTGCAGGATAAGACCCTCTACCAGAAGATGCTGGTCTGATCCTCAACGACCGCGCGGCTTTCCCATGTGCAGATGCATGTGAAGATACAGCGATGGCGCGTGGTGTTTTGAGGCTGAGCTGGTTAGAAAGCTGAAAGAGATTGACCTGGCAAATGAGGCTGGTGGGAGGTGGATGGGAATCTATCGCCATGACATTTGCAGATAGAAGCTGAGATGTACATGTCGCAGATTTGCATGACATCATTGTGCATTCAAACATGTTTTCACATGTCATCAGCTGTCTTGGCAAAAGGCAAGGGCCAAGCAGCGCGCAGCAGCTGCTGCCAGTCAGGAACTTGTGAAAAAATATTGCCAGATTGGCTAGTGATCATTGTAGTCATTTCTGATCCCTTCAGAACTTGCAAAAATTGCTATGGAAATGTGTCAGACAGAATTGTGACCATCAGTAATCTACAATTCATTGGATTACTTTTCGGGACACTTGACAAGAAACTCCATACAATGTGGGGCCCCCAAGATAGCTAAGTTGGTTTATAACTACAATAACTAGGGTTTATGGTAGTTATAACATGTTATAACCATAGTTAGATGGGGTTATAAACCAACTTATAACGGGCCCCACATTGTAGTCAGGGGAAAACATCCCGGTTTCATCGGTTTCCTGTAGATTTCCCTGGAAAAAACTTGTACAACGGTTGGTTGATTTTTCTATGGAAATAAACTGGACATCAACCGGCTGTCGCCATTTACGACAATGGAACATCCCACTTCTAATCATTAGACTCATATAGAAAACAACCATTTATCATATCTTAGGTTTATTCCAAGTATAGCTGCCATAGAGAAATTGCTGCTATTTTCGAACTTTTTCCGATCGCTCAGGTGCGGCCGAAAAGGCCAAGGTGAAGGCTGAAAGACCTGTGATGGGACCGAAACCACCAGGCCGGGGAAGATCACCATCATAGGGACTTTCCATCTGGGGACCTCCAATGGGTTATGCTGGGTTGATATGAAAATCCAAAAATCAAATGGATGATTGAGTCTTTTTACCCTCGTAAATGGATGATTTAGTTCATTAGATACCCCTATAATCCCCTATATATATAATATATGATTAATAATACTAATATTAATAATAATAATAATATTATGAAATATGTGGTATATGGATGTATATGGGATCCCCTGTTAATGGATGGTTTATATAATGGAACATCCATCTATAAAATGGATGATTTAGGGTGTACCCCCATTTATGGAAAGCATAATATACCTAGCGAACCTAAAACCTAACATTTTGTAGTTGTTTTTTTCCAAAAACTATGTTTTTCCGCATTTTTTCTTTAAATATGGATTTTGTTCCTAAAAACCTTGTTTTTGAGTAAATATGCATTTCTAGATATCTTTTGGTGCAGTTTATCACATTTTATCTGCAGCTACATATCCCAACCCTTCCTTTGATAGCCCGCCTTGCTTTATGTCACCCATAACCTCAAATAGCATCCTCAAGTCCAATATCAAGAAGATATAGAACTCCTAGTTATAGAGTTTGTTTATTAATCGACCGTAGAACTTCAATTGCATTTAGCTGTCTAGTTGTATATATGTATTTTCATTCAAGCTTTGTGCAACTGCAACTCACATCCTTCAAAGGAATAACATTTGGGATGGGCTAAGTTTGCAGCCCAACCAATATAAATGTCATGTATGTACCTTCATGCACCATGTACATGGCGATAGCGATATCTATTTACGTATGTGCGTTGAAGCATTTTCAGAGGTCCGAAGAAGAGAAATTACTACCAGGAGAGCTTGCTTTCATTTCCAAGATAACACGGTGATCACTTTCCAATACCTGCAGTCCGATCCCGCCGCCGAAAAGGCAATTTTCTCACCAGAAAAGGTTTGAGTTTGACTTCATATCCCTTCATGTCAGGTGACTGCAAGAGTGCAAGAGTGCAAGATTTTCAGCCAAATCATACCCTGGAAAATTGTCCAGGTCGTGAATATGTAATGTGTGTGTTGAATCTATTGGGACATATTGAACATTTTTGACTGAAAAAAGTTAGGTTTCTACAACAAAACCATACAAAACCCGTCTTTTCCCGTACTTAACCCGTACTAAACCCGTATTTCGGAAATTCAACAAAAACCTGGTTTTTGAAAACCCGTAATCAAACCGTACAAAACCCGTAATTAAGCCGCTGTTTTGCCACAGCATGCCAAGCCGGTATCCAAAATTAGATGAGAAGAGAATGCAGCATACCCGTGAAATCTGAATTCATTTAGAGAAAGATTGCTCAGGCAAGTGTGGGTATAGTGAATTCTTTCATTTTTTGGGCCTGTTTGCATTATGCTCAAACCTTTTTATACGCATTGCAGCCTTTGTGGGTGTCAATGGTCATTTCCCTCTGATTGGTGGATTTTGTTTGGGTTCGCTGGGCATGGCGCCAGAAAATGGTTCCACTCGTCACCGTAGCTACTTCACATTGGCCGAAGGTGATGATGCATGCATGGAAACAGCAGAACTTTCCTAAGATGAACAACCATAAAACTGAATGTGTTGGTGAAGGACCCTACTGGTATCTACTGCTGTTGGAACCACAGGATTTGCCAGTACCTGCAATTTTTGCTTTCTCTCTTCCACCTATGTTCAGCAATGCTACTTGCGATTATGATGAAAGAAGGAGAGTGTGGTGATTGGAAGGTGTAAGGATAATTAAGGATATGTGTGTGTGACCGTGGAGCGTGTGTGCGCCCTAGAAGGACTCAACATCCACATTCATGACGAATCATGTTTTTCCAAGATTTTGATATTTTCAAAAAACATTGATTTTCAAAACCCGGGGTTTTGATGCAAAACCCAGGTTTTTTTCTCAGACCCTACGATTTCATAGGTTCTTGGTTCCACTGGTATACATATTTTGCTGGTGGTCAGACATGGCAGTGGACAATCCACCAATTTATCAATTCCCGTCAAACATCTGATTTTTGATGATTTTTGTAGAGGGGATTTCCCATATTTCCCAACTAGCCATGTCTGATGCAAGGGTAGGCATCAATGATATCAATGTAGAATTAAGCCAACGTTTGCCGCAGTCGCGCACATAGGCGAAGATGAAACCAGCCTGAGACCGCCGCCCCTGCCCAGGGTGCGCATCTTTTTGGTGCAGTCAGCAGTCAGCAGATGAATCCAAAGTAGCATTCGGTAAACATGTTTTGATTATTTTGTCGAAACACGAACACTGCTGAGTTAGTCCAAGACATCTAAGACGAAGGTCTAGCTTTAAAAGTTAATAGGGTTATCTCTGTAGGATTTGAGGGTTCAAACAGAAAATCAGTATACGAATCGATGTTCAACCAGATGTTGTAGCAACAACCCCTTTTTTTGCTACTTTACTCAACGCCAAACTTTCCTCCTCTTCGCCCGGACACCTGCTATGCCTTGACAGGAGCAGCACCATCCTCTTCCACCGAAGAGGGGAAGGTGGGCATCAGCTGAACCGAAGTTGCCCGAAGTTGAATTTTTAATTTTTTTTTGTCATTGTCAGATATTTGTTCAGGTGTACATTCCCAATCGCGCTTCGCACACATTATTATATGTTCTCGAAATATATATATATATATATTATATTATATATATATATATTTGTTTTCTTTTGATGTATTCAAGTTCTTGCTTGGAATATACTTAACTCCGAAAATCATACCCCGCTCATACTGCCTCAGAAGGTATGGTTGGATCCATAGAATATGATATGATATGATATGATATAATATGATATGACATGTACTACATAATATGTCATATTATGACATAGTGTGACATAATATGACATAATATGATATAATATGACATAATATGATGAAATATGTAAACATCTATCAACGTGGAAACGTGGATATTTCCTCAGGGAAAAGCCGGCAGCCGAAGCCAAGGCCTGGGTTTCTTGCTTGTCTCCGCAATAGGGATCATCCACATCGGTATACAGATGCAAAATGGAAACAAGAAAGTCAAAATCAACGATTTCCAGCTTTTCTTAAGTGTATTGTTATTTCATGTTATTTCCCATTTATTTCCCATTTATTTCCCATTTATTTCCCATTTATTTCCCATTTATTTCCCATTTATTTCCCTAAAGTATCCTAAAGTTCTTTATGTTGTTACCTTGTTACCTTCAGGTGGAGCCCAAGGAGGCCCGCGAGGTTCCGGCGCACGCGGCGCACGCGCGGCCTTCGATGCCCCCCACGCTGCCAGAGAGGTGGGGTTTGGAGATGGGAAGATGGGCTAAATTCTGAGGGACCAAAGGATTACCCTCTGGTAATTTTAATGGGAAATCACCATTTTTAATGGGAAAATCACCATTTTTTACTGGGAAAATCCACTATAAATGACATAGCGAACTGGAAAGATCCACCATTTTTCATGGGAAAATCCACTATTTCGACTGGGCCATTTTCAATAGCAAACTGTTAGTTTACCAGAGGGTACTTGGATATACTCAATGTAGTTGGATTATATAGTTGGATTCAATTTGATGTTCATGTTTTTAGTGATAGATGATCTCGGAAAGTGAGATTGAAGAATGATCAGAATCTGATTGAGAAGAGACAGTGACATACATTTTGTCGCTTGTTCATTGTTGCAATGCTTGGACCCCCTACTCGGCTTGCGACAAGAGACATCATTTTAGGCCCGCGAAGCACACTCCGGTGAAGCTTCCGAAGCAAGTGTGCGCCACCTGGGTACCCCAAAATGTTCAATGGTTTGTCGTAAAATGGGGGTTTCCTAAAATGGGGGTACCCTAAAAATGTTTTTTTTTTTCCGCCTTTGACTTTAATGCCGTGTGACAGCGGTAGAGACAACCAGCTACGCGTGAAGTCCCCACCAATGATTGTGATCATTAATTAAAAAACACAAACAAAACCAACAAAAAACAACAAATTCAGGGGTGACGACGAGACACACCATGGGACAGTCGAATGCACGGATGCAAAATGACAGATGCCGGATCGAATGCAAATGAATGCATCCTCCCAGGGTGGATACACAGGTGCCGATCTGTGTGTCCACTAAGGACGGAATGGCATACACATTTTCCTCTTTTTCCCCATTGGGGTGACAAAAATAGAATGTAGTTTTTGATACGGCAGGGCACCGGTGGTTAAAGATGCAGTCAGTTTAACAGCAGGGACCCAAAAACTACGAATGGATGGTTTGTAGTGGAAAATCCTACGAACATGGATGATTTAGTGGTACCCCTATTTTAGGAAACCTCCAAACGGTTTATCATTATTCTTCCCTGTTAATGTTGTATGGAAAATAGCAAAGTTAAATTGCCAGAGGGCATCATTATTCTTCCTTGTTATGGTAATAACATGGCAATCATAGAACATGGCAATAAGATGTTTTTTTGAACGGCAACGTTGTTTGTGTTTTTTTTGGTTTATGTTCGCAAGGTTTCATCGTTGACCCCGCTGACATCCGCTGACACTGTCAATCAAACATAATTGGGTGTGGCCAGGTGGTATCACATGGCCGATTCTGGAAGAAGCACAGATTGAAGGAAATTTCGTAGTTATATCAAAACATAATATTACACTAAGAATTATGATAAGCAAGTTGGACACAGCCAGAGCAATCAACCTCAACACCCTCAGTGACAATGTCCCCCGACCAAGACGTGCGGGAGGTACACAGATGAGCACGAGTACCCAGACCCTGTTAGAGGGAAGCAAGCCTTTAGGCCATCGCAGCCATTGTATGTTGTCTATGTGCTGAATCAAACATCACCTCCTTTCGCATGATCTACTGAAAATAGATGAATCTTCTAGAGTTGAACAGCTTCAACAGCGACGCAGTTTCTTAGGAAATCACGACTTGTTGCGTCCAAGTCAGCGAATGATGGGCGCATGGAGAGTTCTGACCTATCTCCCCACTCGATGGTTTTGGCCAGGGTGGCTGCGGGTGCCTTTGCATGCGGCATCATTGCTTCACAGGTCGACCCACTGTGGGTGGCGCAGTGGGCTGTTCGCATCACAGTGCTCCAACAATCTCCAACACTCGCAGTGCTGCTCGCTACGCCAACGCACAGATGTCAAGGTACTTACTCACTCAAAGTTTTTCACTGACTTGGCAAACCATTTGAGAATGGAGGGACTGAGCGACCAGTGAAATGATTTTCATGTTTTTTCTTTGTTTTCCATTGCAAGTATTTGTACCATCCGTAAATTAAAGCGAGACATCTTTCATGCAGAGCAAATCACCACTTGTGCAGAATTGATGCTCTTGGAGTTTGGAGCAAGAAGCTGCAACAAGACATGGATGACATGGATGACATGGCAGGCAGACCTCTTTCCAGCCACCTGGTTTATTTGGTCCTTTTTATTGGTGCTTTCCTCAGCATCAGCTGCATCAGCGGCACAAATCGTATAGGAAGAACTGACTTCCTCAGGTCCACCTGATTGGCGTGATCTTTTTGACGGACTACGCCAACAAGACCGGTCTTTTGGTACTTTGTGCCACCTTTGGGTCTACGTCTCAGATGCTCTGCAAGATGAGTTTTCCGAGCTGTTCGGATCTGTTCGCTGCTTTTTTTTGCGATGGAAGGATACCAGGCAGAGTTCCAGCAAGCTTGAATTTACCAGCTAAATTAGTGCTAAAACCCAATTCATTCATGCATGTCATAGATATTGATGGTAAAGTCCAAAAATATGGCGGCTGAATTTCCCTCTTTTCGAGAGGCAAAACGTGGTAGGATTCCCCGATGATGCCCCAAAGCCTTGCATGGCTCTGACCCCAGCTGAGGCTCCACGCAGGCTTTGCATTCAGCGAAACCTTCCTATGGACAGAGGGATGCAGCAGTTGGATCAATGTCTTTAAATAGGTGTTTGTTATTTCTGGGGATGAAGATATACTGTATAGCAGCTATTTTGATGTGAAAAGCAGGGTAATTGCAGGGGTTTAACCGAATGTTCGATGTGGGGAGCTTGGAATATATTTATGAACTTTGGGAGCAAGGTGTATTTTAAGGATAATCACCAAGGACATGCAGGATGATCCTGATCAATCCATGTATCATTTATGATTCAGACATAGACACTCTCTCAGTTGTTGCTTCAAACAGCTTCAAACTACAACATGTATATTATTCAGATGGGAATTGCACGGAATTGCCTTGTATTTCTTGAATGTACTGCTTGCAGCAAGACAGTGACCTATGCGAACGTGCGAAGCTTCGGTGCCGCAGGATGCTGGACCAAGATGGTCCGGACTCTGTGGGTCCATGGTCCATCCTGATCTTCTTTTCATGCTGAAAACTCAGAGATGGATGGCCGCCAGGGATGGCCAGGGATGGGCAGAATGTGCCAGATGAGGATGGTCGCACTGAGGCATTTTGTACTTTCACGTGGGCACCTCAGAGTGGACCGGGCCGTTTTCGGAAAATCATGAACCACTGGATTGTTGGGTACCCGATCTTCAATGATCCTCAATCAAGCCCCTATCCGGAGACCTTTCGGTGTGTGTACCCTGAGTTTCAAGTCCTTGACTATCTTCGTCACATTTACCGCAAGCATTGCCATGCGCCGAGTCATTCTGGATGGAAGCCACTGTGCTGCCGCCGGACTACATCACAAGCCACTAGTCATGGTTGGAAACCGGGTCAAGTGTTGGAATATCTTGGCCTATGGGAGAACAGCTTCCACATTTATGGAAGCAGAAATCGCATCTACATCCACTCTGATCCATGTGTTTCGGGCCGTTGTCCATGTGCTGAAGATTTGTTCCCACACCTGGCCAGGTATTTCGCTGTTTTTCCCCATGTTCCCCGCGCGTGGACACTCAGAGCATCGAATCGTATCGAATCCATGTCACGTGGACTAGCGAGACTAGGTTATACTAAGATGAGACGCATTATTGGAATGTGATTTGGACAGTTTTTGTTGGAAAGACATGAAAAAACACATGACAAAATTGACAAACACAGATAAACCGCTGCTTGCAAACTTAGAGTTCGAAATCCTTGCATGTCAGCATTGGGAAGTTTTGCGCTAGCAGTCTTTCACAAGACAACTTTAACTCTGCCACTCTCACAAACAGCCGCTGCCTCGTCCCGCTAGACTGGCAGTAAGCAAGTGATGTGAGAACTGTGGCAGTTTGACGAAGCATCCCCTTCAGGTTCAACGCCGCCGTTGCATTTAGTTGCTTGGAGCTTTTCCTTGAGTGGAGGCGCCGCGGGGCGGTCACCATGCCCGCTTTGTGACAAACCGGTTTTGGGTGAACTTGCGTCCACTACAGTCTTGGAAGGACATGTCAAGCTGTGAAATATGATCTTTGATGAAGATTTGGTATGCTATTGGTATACAGGTGTCATTTTACAGCATTGCACCTTCTACAGTAATATCCTTTTGTTGTGAGCTGCAAATCTCTGTTGCCATTCAACTTGAAATCCCCTGCCTTGACTGTTTGGAGAAAAGCACCAGGTGTTGTGAGGGAGTGGTACCACAGTGCGTCTAATGAATAGGTTTGGAAATGTTATATAGGAACCTTCAAGCGTCTTTGGCATTTCTGCTAGGTGGTTTCCTGATTTTAAGATCTGGAAATCCTTCGCTTTGCTTGGCGTGACTTTGGCTACATTGGAAGCCGACGCTGTATGGCTCACCACATGGCTGACATTGGCTGACGCTTTCGAGTTCAATCCATCTGCATGGTGTATAGCAACCTCATTATAGACCTCTCATGACCTCTCTATGAATGCCTGGAGATGTCGAATGAGTCAGTATGATATGGTTTGCCATTTATTGATAGTCATTGCATGTCATTGTATCATATTGCATAATTATCATTAATTATCTATATGGCTATGAATCAATATCTATTAATACCATTTTTAGGGGGATGAACATCCATTTACCAGCTATTTTGATCTATTTTGATGTTCACCAGGGGTACAAGGTTTTGACACACTGCCATATATCCAAAGTCCGGCCTGCCCATCTCTGCCAGAACTAAGGCTGGTCTTTGTATCTGTGGCCAGGTGGGGGCACCCACGATCCGCAGAGATACTGCATATACTGCAGATCAATATTTTGGGTGGGTTTAATCTACCCGTTTTTGGGGCTTAAACATCTCAATGTTGCTAGAATAAAGACCTCCCATTTTGTTCTTGGGTCAAACTGGTTTAAAAATCCCAATGTTTTTCTATGTTTTTCTATGTTTTTAATGGTTCTTCCAAGGTTTTTCTGATTGCTGAGAAACTATCCCCTCTCTTCTTGCACCATGTCGCTTCAGTTGCTGATCGCGTCTGCGAGTCGCACGGGGCAGCGGAACTACTGGGCCAGTTGCCACTTGGCGTCGGATATCGAAATCTCCAAGATGATGCAATAAAACGTATGACTGAAACCTGAACCCTTGAGATCCTTTGACTTACTGGTGCTTAGCAGGGAATGGGGGATTGATATGGAATGATCATGAATGATCTATATAAGACACATTAAGACACTAGTACTGTCAACCATCAATCATCCCATTCCCCCCATTCCCTACTAAGCACCAGTAACAGAGGATTCAACCAGGAAGAATGGTGGTGAAACCAGCACAAATGGATACACAATGGTGTTTCGAGTAGGAAAAAAGGGAATTTCATGAGCAAGAATGGGGATTTAGGCAGCCAAAACTGTTTTTTCAGCTTGCTATTTGTGATTTGAGCTGATGAAAGCAGGTTATATTATACAACTTATACAACCAACAAAATGAGGATTTAGATGGATTTAGCCAGCCAAAATGATTCGATTTCGCCAGCAAAGATGCCTTTTCCCGCAAAGATGTAGCAAAAGAACGCCCAGAAACACGGCAAAACCTGGCACATGCACCTGGCTTTTGCATCTACCCTCTGGTAAGCTAACATAGCTATTGAACATGGCCATTTATAGTCAGTTTTCCCATTAAAAATGGTGATTTTCCATAGCTACGTTAGTTATTACCAGAGGGTATCTCAGTGTCAGTCCACTTTTGGGATGACCATCCTGTAATGATGAGGATGACTTCAATCCGCTAGGGGGCCATGGGGATTAAGAATGAATACAGAGATTGTTGATATTGGATGATAATACTCTAAAATAAGATACAAGCAATAATGTTGATATTGTTATGGATATATTGTCATCAATACAGATTGTGTTAATACCACTAGTGTTAGATATTTTTCGTGATGTTTGAACTCTCCACTGATGCAATGATTGATTTTATGTCCTCGCAGCCGAGGCCGAAATATGCCCGAAGAGGCGGCGCTTCGCTGTCTTTATCAGGATTTAGTTACTTAATCAATCAATTAATCAATTCGTTAGCTAGCTAGCTAGTTAGGTAGGTAGTTGGTTAGTTAGTCAGTTACTTCTTCAATTTGACAGCCAAGATTCTGTATTCTGAAGCGTTTCATGCTTCTGACTGGAAACGGGTTGCCCCCAATCGTCCAGGAAGAGCGACCTGAAGATTTTGTCGGCCTGGAAATTCCGGATCGCAGGGTCGTCCAGGACGCAACGCAGCCATTGGAATCCAGTGGACCATGGCTTCCTTTGTTGCTGAAATATACTGTAGATAAATATGATACATAGATATAGCATATCATAGCATTTTATCATATTTTATCCATTTTTAATAGCCAAGATTAGCCAAGTATATGGTCCTCCACATCAACTGATCGGTGGAACTAATGTGATTTCCCGGCTCTCCAGCGGTTGGTGAGACGATCAAGAAGTGAGTTGAAGGTTTTTGCAGCATCCACAGATGCTGGGAGTTGCTTTAAGGAAAACGCATGGAAAAAAACTACACATCCATGGTAAATATGGTAAACAAATGGTAAAACAGGGGTTTTCTGCAGAGTTGCCGGAGTTGCCCCTTAACTCACCCCAATAACAGATCCAACGTCATCCAACGTCTGGCTGCTGTCCACTTCCAGGAAGGTGTCTATAGATATGAACGGCACCCAGCCTACCTCGGTGCAATGCTGTGGGGTCTTGGCATACAGGTCGGGTTAGACCAGTGTCTGGCTGAAGGTTTCTCAAGTTATGTCATGTTTGGAGTTGTTAGTTTTGGCATTCCAGCGGCCGGAAGAAACAAAATATTGTCCACACACTTCAAACTTCAAACTGTATTCCAGCAATGTTTCGACCTATTTGCTTTAAGTACAAAGAAAAGTGGGCGAGAAGCTCGCCGGAAATGGACGCAATTCAGGGTGCTGTTTTGCAAATTACTCGGATAAAACACCAATAAAAGGTGATCTGCACAATTGGCTGGACAACATGGTTAGACTGCAAACTGAAGAAGTTGTCAACTGGAGTTGCAACTCTCTCCCCTGGATAAAATTATCGGACTTTAAAGGACATCACAGGAAGGGCTCCCTTGGATAGGTAAGTTGGTTTATGACTAGGCTAGATATATGGAATTTTATCCTGGACGGGGTTATAACATGTTATAAATCAACAAATCAACTTTTAACTAGGGGGCACTGAGCACTGTTCCAATTTCACCATTTTGACCCCAGTTGCAGTTGGCCCATCGCATCGGGCATCGCATGGCCAGATAGCTCTGTGCAACCCCGTGATGCTAGTGCTGGTGGGCTTTGTCCTTTGGGCATCATTGCTCTACGTCGCTTTGGAGGTGGTGTGCCTCAGATCTCAGTATCAGAGATTCCATGGTTGAACAGTGTTGATCAGATTTTGTTCCTATGAGCATGGCCGTTTGGATCCATTTAGGGGTACATGATATATATATATATGTATTATACCTCATAGTAGATCCATGTAGATCCCATTTCTCTGCAAACTCCCGCTAGGCTAGTGTCAATCAACTCAAGTCTGGATCCAACTGATTCGCAACACCAAAATGGGGTCCAGTACCCGCATGATGAGCCATGGCCATTAGGCACACCCTACGAAATGATTGGGGTTTTGACAGCAAAGGAAATGCCCAAGATCTGGCAGCATTCAGGGCTTCAGGGTCTTAAACCTTGTTTAACATTCTCTCATTAGTGGTTTCAATGATTTCTCACTTTCCATACCAGGGACGAAGATCCCTGACAATATGTTTCAGGAGGTGGCTCAACCATCAATCAGTTTTGAATATACCCCCCCCCCACAAAATAGAACACTTGGAAACCTGGAACAGATAGGGAGACATCATCTACACCGGAAATGCGTTTCTATCTTTTTGGGGGTTGCTATGTATTAGTAGTACATATGATTACATATACATAAACATATATATATATATTATAGAGAAGATGTACGAAAAATGTGTACCTCACCCAGTCGCAGCACAAATAGTCGCAGCACAAATGGTTGCCTTGTGACATTGCAGGAAGAGCAGGAGCTCTATGATGAGTTCAAGGGGGGCAGCTTGGTGCAGATGTTCTAGATAAGCTATAATGATTAGTAGGGCAACTATCACCGAAACAGTTTTCTTCAGGTTGCTCATGGTTGCTAACAATATAAAAATTGTATGAACCAGAATGTCTATTTTGGTGCTGATGCGATTGTATTTTTTGCAATCCCATTCATTTTGTCTGCAGCAATCTGGATTCCTGGATAAATTAAGCTTCTGGGAGCTCAACCTTGCCACAACTGGTGGACAGGCAAAATCATGGAAGTTCCATGAATTTCATGGCTTTTTCTTTTTAGTGTGGGATAGAAAAACATCATCAGTTTTCTTTGCAGTTTTCCAATTTTTTTCCGCTGAGGTTATGCCAACTATGCAGCTTTGACCTGCTGCTGGATCCCACTCTTTAACTCGCGGGGTTTACACAGTCCTGGGTCGATGGCAGGGACAGCTGGCTGATGATGTCAGTCCATATGTATAGAATATATGGGTAATCCGCAGCTACCCAAAAATCAATGATCATCGGAGTTGAAACATATTCATTTTTCTGCAACTAACTTGTTGGAAATGACCAAAGGAAACCATTCCAGAACATTCTTGCTAAGACCTCTGTTAAACCTTCCAATGTTCGTGTGGAATGCTTCAGAGGCAGCGAATGACCCGCAGGGTCTGAGAAGGTACAGTCAAGTAGTTCAGGTGTCCCGCACTGTATTGCTTGGATTTATGTTTGTCAAACCTGTTTAATGACCCTCGTTGCCTCTTGCTGGCGCCGCAGATGCTCTAAGGTTTTTAGAAGATTCCGCCTTCCAGAGGGAGATGCAAGATACATGTTCCGTCCTTAGAAAGCTGGAGAGCACTTGCCATGACTCATCCTTGAGTTCTGATCCAATAGGAGGTGCAAAGTAACATTCGAGACTGATGCCATAATGTTTGTTCTTTTGGAAGTAGCCTCAGAAAGAATACTCTTACCGAAGAGCGCCACGATTTGAAATTGCATCTGCGTTATCCAATTTTATGACATTCAGTGGGGCATCTGCAGCACTGCCCAGCACAGTGTCCAAGCCTATCTTGCTCCGGAACATTACCGAACATTGATGATTGAGTTCAACCACACTACATTTCAGAGAGTTGATTTGAATCATGTTCGCCTATGAGTGTGTCAAATCAATTCGCGAACAATGATGTGAACTTGAGGTGAGGAGGAGAATGAGAATTTGCAGGAGGCGATTCTGCGAACTGGATAGTTTCCACAAGCGAATTGGAAGGGACTTATATCAGTTGCTCCGGTTTGGGGACTTACCAACCACATGCCAGCTACATCCAATCAGCATCGTGCAGCAGTCTAGTGTCATGATGTCGCAAGCTGGTGGAACAAGAATCGTTGCCGCTGGAACATGTCGGTCAGATCATTGATTTCATAACCAAGTGCCAAAGCTTGCAGTTGTGAGTTACGTGAGCAAAAACAGCTATATTACAATATATTATAGTCATATAGATACTTTTACATTTAAATCTTATTTGTCGATGATTTCAATGTCAGTGATGACTTTTGTACCTGGCTTGTGCTGAATATCCTTGCATGCGAAGACCTCTGCAGGACACTGAGGAGGAGGAAATAGAAGATGACCTGCACAGCCAGAGACTCAGATGGGGACTTCTTGTCTGGTGTTTTCGATCTTCCATTGTTATCCATTGTTTGCACCTGTGAAACAGACATGTGTTTTCCAGTCATCAGCTCGTGATTGACCTTGCCCTGGATAGGTGAAGATGACTTGCTACCAACTTGGGAGGGAGTTCCAAAAGGCCACCAATGTGTCAAAGATCAGCGAGAGATTGTTGAATTCCCTCAGCAATGGACCTGCAAGATCCTGCAAGCATGGTAGCTCTGTTTCTTGTGCTGTCTAAAGATGAGGATAGTCGGAAGATGCCTGGCAGGCGGGTCTCTTTGGAATCGACAGTTTCGGGAGTCTTCATCTCAGCATATCTCAGCCTTTTCGATATTTTTGGTTACCAGAGGAACCACCTGCATCACCCCCTTTTTTCCCAAGCGCTTTGGGAAGGCGTGAATTTTCTATAATTTTAATGATTTGTCATCAATTTGATCATCAATTTTCCACATTTTTCCCATCAACAATGCCATATAAACTTGGGGATACATCGGCAAATCCATCCCAATCGTCGCTCGAGGCCGTGGATGCTCGGATAGATGCATCGACCTGTTTCGGGGGCCTCCCGCGCTAAAAGATGGAGCTTGGTGCAAGGTGATTCTGGAGCAATGAAAAATATATTTGTTTGATTTGTTTTGTAAGGTTGAACATCTTTCAGAGATAGCGGCAAATCACGATTTGATGGGGTTTCATGGTGTTTCCATCTTTACTGATCATCTCCATCTCTGACCTACAAAAATGGTTGATAGATTCCCGAAATCCATGACATTGAACATGTAGGGTCAAACCTCTACGCATTGGCACGGTGTTTTCTAATTACCAGATGTGTATCGCTGCACACGGTGGAAAACTCTGGCGTTGGATGTGAGACATCCCAGGGGACCATAAGAGACTCTGCAAAACGGCTGCTTTCTGGCAGTGAACCATCCACTTCGGAGATTTTTGGGATGCCAAGGATCTGTTTATAGCGTGGTTGAGAAATGTGAGGCCAACGTTTCTTTATTATATAAACATTATATAATTGGCTGTATTTTGTTTCTCCAGAGCACCACAAGTGTTTCACCCGCACTTGGCAGATTTTGTGACTTTGTCAAGTTTGCAGAGCGACTTGTGAGCGGTTCATTCTGCTCATCTGCTAAAATGTCTTCAAATAATCAAATTGATGTATGACAACACAGCGATGCTCATCAGCGTCATCGTCATCGTCATTGTCATCGTCACCACCACCACCACCAGCAGCAGCATCATCATCAGCATCATCATCCAAGATTTGAGTGTTTGATACTGTACATTGGAATGCAGTTCATGTTTCTCCATGTTCAAGCAATTGCTTTCAACATGCCTAAGCCGGATTTGAAGAACGGGATTCCTATCAGAGATGAGCTCCATGAATCTGATGAGAGTTTGGCAGCTCCTAATATTCTCGAGGTTGCTGTGAACCCCAGCTCACTTGCAAATTGCTCAGCTTAGCCAGTGAAATCCATACCACTTTATTGGTGTGGACTGCTTGGTAGAAATCCGCATGGAGTGTGCGATCAAAATCCAACGACAAGTAAATCTATCACTGCTATGACACGAGAATAGCATAGAATAGCAGCGTCCCATACTTTGGTTACCTTGTACCAATGTGATGTCATGCATCACCTATGTATATATATATATACATACATAATCATATATACATTTATATAATACATTAACACATCCTTACATTCTTCTGAGCTGTGTAAGCAGGAGTTATTTGAGCTTTTCATGAGTTTTATGTTGTGTACTTGTTTGCTGCAGGAAGATTATTCAACACAAGACATGCGATTCAGGTACTGGCAGTATTTGGTGCAGCATCCCAAAGATCCCCTTATTGTTGGCTATTGTCATGATACGGTTGACGTGGATCTGTCTGAAAATAGTGTAGCCCTACAAATCCATATCATATAAATATGGTTGTAATATGTTGTAACATCCTATCAATGATATCTCCATCTATGGTTCCGTCTCAGAGGACTTTGAACGCCTATCGCAGCACTCTTTTTTCGGCCCAAGGTGCCCATACCTTGTGACCAGGCAACAAAAAGGCGGCCTTTACCTGGAGAGGTACCAATTTTGTACATTTCTGCAGAGCACTTTTGCAATTTGGGCCCAACAAAACATAGTCAGGCTATGTCAGGCTTAAGAAAAAACGGGGTTGACATTAATTAACTTGAAGATACCTACAATGTTCCTGCAGGTTTGTACTTGTCGATGTGGGATAAACCGTTCAGCCATTCTTTTACGCCTTGTTCATGTGGGCTTGTTTGTTTATTTGTTGGTGTGTCAATTCACGGTTTCTTTTAATGTTTGCATGTTTATAATTATGTGTGCATCTTGAAGTATATCATGCCAACAGCTGAGTAGTCCATGGTGTTTCCGTGTTCCGCATTTTCTGCAATGATGCATGACCGAAGAACTGTGCTGCAATATGGTGGAGCCCTGGTCCCTGGTTCATTTAATTGATTAGATGTGTTGAAAATCGCATCTGTGGCTCTATGAGCTTCAGAGAGCAGACTTTTATCAGGCACCAGCACATGTGGACTAGTCGCTGATATTGAGCGCGAGAACGTGCAATCAGACTAGACGGCAAACACTCCACGAGTGCGCTGTACTGGAGTCAGTGTATTGAAGGTTGGAAGCCATTGCCTTTTCCATTAAAATTATACTGCTAGGTTAGTAGGGATTCCCAGTTCATGTATAATCATCATCCAACCATCATTTCTCAGTTATACACATATGTATATATATATATATCCAATCAAATCATCTTATATCTCTTATATCCCCAGAGTTTGATGGTTAAATCCCTATGAAATGACGAGAAAATCATCCACCACCAGAGTTACTGAGTTGGCGTGGCCACGCCATGCATGGCGAAGAGGAAGTCACCCTGGAAGTCCTGTCAATGGATGCTGCTATTGTTGTCACCCACCTTGGTGAGTTGGGGTGAAATTATGTGGGGCTTTCCATAAATGGTTTATCTGATTGGTGGTTTGGAACCATGGAATTTTACTGTATGACTTTCCATATATTGGGAATAATCATCCCAACTGACTTTCATATTTTTCAGAGGGGTTGAAACCACCAACCAGTTTATGATTGGTCTATGAAATTCCATTGATGGTAAAATTTGATAGTTCATTATTGGTAAATCTGGGGGTTTCCATAAATGGTAGCCCTGTGAATGGATGGTTTACACTGTGACAAGCCGATTCAACTGGATGATCTGGGGGTACCCCCAGTTTAGGAACACCCCAAATGGTGGATACCCCAAAACGGCACTTTTGATACCGTAGGGGAAAATGACGCTGTGTAGTAAACCATTGGGTTTGGATTCCCAATTTTGAGGGGGATATGACTGTGGCATTTGGTGACTTTTCCACCAAATTTGGAGTGGAGATATGTGTCTTGATGATTTTGAAGTCCCTTTAGCTTCGAGCCAATTGTGATAGCTCAGGCTGAGAGGAAAAATTTATAGCCGGGGGATGTGAGGTGATCATTTGGGGATGGGTCAACACCTACAATGCCACAAATCCATACAAATCCTATTTTTTTATTTTTTTTTGGAATGAGCATCCATAACCTCCAGCATCCTCCAGCTATTGAAGCACAGCGGATCAGCTGCAGGTCGGCCTTCACCTTGGCAACTCTGTGGTTTGTTCTGCACACCGAATTGCTGAAAGATCCTGGCCAGGTTCAGGCAGATTGTCTTGTGAATTATGGAATTATGCCATGTGGGGCATGAAGACTTGAAGACACTTGGCCCAACATGGCCCAACCTAGCACTGGGAATTCACATGATAAAATTGACACTCAACTATACTGCTCATGCACAGCCTGCCGGGCCCATGGTCTGAAACTTGTAGGACATCTGACATACCTGTTGCAAATCCAAGCAAAGGACAAAGAAGACAAGCAAGAACCATAGATTAAGGATCTGCCAGACTTAGTTTCCTGCAGGTCACCCACGATCCCGAGGGCGAGAAGTGGGAGGGCAACAGAGAAGAGCCCGCAATCGACGCCACTTGATTCGATGGACAATATCCTCGTAGTTTTGACGTCAAGAATCTCTAATGTTTGATGGTTACGTACAGGCTTCCCCAGTTTTTGCTTAATGGTTTACGAAATACAGGGTTTTACAATGTTGTACGAAACACAGGATTACAATGTTTTACATTGTTTTGCTGGTACACATGTTTGCTTAAATTGGGACTTGGGATCACTATAATTTACAGTATAATATAGTATATCGACGGAAGTTTAGAAGTCAACCTTCCGACAATATGGACAGATGAAAAGCAGAGATGGGAAGAGTCAGAGAAGAGAAAAGAAGAAGAAAGAAGATCAAAGAAGAGAAAGTCTCAGAAGAAAGAAGATCCAGGCGCGCGAAAAGGTAGGAAAGTCGCGAAACTCTGTGGTTTTCCAATGATTTGTGGCTCCGGAGGGTTGAAAAGTAGGCTCCGCTAAAGCGGCGGGTGCCGAGCCATGTGGACAGATGGGCGATGAAAAGTTGCACGCCGTTGTGGTGCGAAGCACATGTCGAAGTCAAAATGTACAAAGCACATCATGTTTGGACCACTTGTGGAAGTTGAGATGTCGAAAAAGTGCCCGCCGTTGTGGTCCGAAGCACATTTCCCAGTCAAAACGTACAAAGCACACCAGCTCCGGACCACTTTACCATTTTTGGAATTTGAGATGTCGAAAAAGTGCACGCCGTTGTGGCGCGAAGCACATTTCGAAGTCAAACGTGCAAAAAACTGAGGGGTACGGACCACTTTTTGACGTTCAGATTTCGTTTTTCGGGGCGGTCGCAGGGGATTGTGCACCTTGTCAAAAGTGAGCAAAACGTGAGGGTGTTGTAGTAATAGTAGTTTCAACTACAACCTACACTTACTACACTACACTACACTACGCTACGCTACGCTACGCTACGCTACGCTACGCTACACACACTACACTACACTACTGCACCACGCTACACTTCACTACACTGCACTACACTACACTACTTACACTGCACTACACTGCACTACACTACGTACACTACGCTCACCACACTACACTACGCTCCAACTACAACTGCAACTACAACTACAACTACCCATACATTACACTACGCTACACTACACTACGCTAATTGCATTACACAAACTACACTCCACTACACTCCGCTCCACTCCATTCCACTCCACTCCACTACATTCAATTACACTACACTTCACCACACTAGGCACAACTACAAGTACAACTACACTACGCTACACTACACTAATTACACTACACTCTACACTCCACTCCACTTCACTACACTACACTAAACTACACTCAATTGCACTACAACTACAACTGGAACTACAACTGCAACTACGCCACATTACACTACACTACACTGCGCTAATTACATTACACTACACTATTTACATTGCACTACACTACATTACACTAGACTCAATTACACTACACTACGCTACACTATACTAATTACACTACACTACACTCCACTACACTGCACTCCACTACACTACACTCAACTACACTACACTCAGTTACACTACGCTAAGACTACAACTACAATTGCCACCACGACTACAACTACATAACACTACACTACGCTACACCACACTACATTACCTTGCACCACACAACACTTCAACTACAGCTACAACTTCAACTACACTACTTTACACTGCACTACACTACACTAGACTACTATACACTACCGCACATGACATTTCACTACAGTCATTATACCACCACAAATGCAACTGCAACTACACTACGCTAATTACACTACACCACCACTAGAACTCCACTACATTTACAACTACAGCTGCACTACACCACACTACATCCAGCAGTTGTGGGTGAGGTGACCGACCAGGTGACCACTGCAACCATTGTAACCACGCCAAAAAACACAACTCCAACCACCTTTCAGTCCATCAGCGGATTCGCTCTGCCATCCGTGATTCACAACAACCAACCTCTCCTATAGGTTTTCTGTTTTTGAAACTTCAGCCACCGCCTTGTGCAGTACTACTGGTATCCAATAGCCGAAGGAGTGACACAATGAGTTTTGAGTTCAAGAGGCAGCTCCTAGCTGAACAAACTGAGAGGTCTCAACAAGGATTCCGATAAATCGGATGATCGGAAAACACATAGCATGCCAATAAGTCCTATATTTGACGGTAATAAATAACCTTTGTTTCCTTTAGATTTTTCCTTAAGCCAATCCAGTGAAATAGCTATCTTCCATTGTCAAAGAGAAGCCCATGCTGAGGATGCTCCATCCAAAGATGCGACAGTAGCTCCATCTGTGGATGTCACATCAGAGCCGGCGAAAGACTACGCTTTGCGCTACGGGCCACCGGTTGCACCAGCGCCGGCGCCAGTGAAAGCCACGCAACAGGGCGTCGCTTGGCGGTGTTGTGTGATCCTGTGTTGGCAGGGATTTGTTTGGTTTGCGCTGATCAGATCATATGTGTAATCCCTCCCCCTAATACTGAACATTCCGTTAGAAACCCTGGTTTAGTATTGGGATCTATCAATTTCCCATATGAGGGGATTTGATAGTCAGACGGCGCGATGAAACAATATAAACTCTGCACATGAACACGAGCTCTCACAACTCCACCTCCCTATGGCGTGCCCCTCTCTTAATATTAGGGGTGTAGGAGTGCAGTATTATGATTGACTAGTGGGTCTGGCAAAATTTGGCTGCAAATCAGCACCATTTGTGAGGCCAAAGAAGCGCCAACGTTGCAAGAAATCCCTTCGGCAACAGGCAAAAACCAGGAGTCTTCTGGAAACTTGGAAGCAACAAACTAAACAGGATTCACTGAACATGTTTTCCAAGCGCTTGGAATTTGACATGGGGTGCACATGAACTTCCCATCAACCACACGAAGCCCTGATGATCCTGGGTTTTAGGAATCCTCACCGTTGCCCTAGCAGCAGAGCTCAAACAGCTCGATGGAGCGCTGGTACCTTGCCACAAAGTTTGCCTCTGGCTGACATTCAGTGGATTGAACACCTGTGAGTTGATGTCTCGTAGAACAACCAGTGAGGATGGCAAGAATTTTTCCCTAGTGCTCGGCCTCCTACAGAAGGCGTACTCTCTCCTACAGAAGGTGTTTGAACCGCCATTGGGATTGACGGGTTTTTTATCATACATCTGTTGGATTCTAGATATTGGGATTCGATGGGCAATATTCAAGAATCCCAATATCAACTCTATCACCCGCAAGAATCCCAAGAAAACAGCAAGGGCTCCACGGCTCGATGGCTCCGCCCCCAGTAAGGTGGTCCTGAATTCGGCCACGAAGAATGCGGCAGATCCATCCAAGCTGCACTTCCGGATCCTCACCACAGAGGATGATGCCTCCGAACTCCTGGAGAAAGTGAAAGACAGGTGCGGTGTAGCGGAAATATGATCTGGCTTTTTTTTCCTGTGGGTTGCCCCTGACAAGAATGGAACGGTGTGGATTATTCCTGTTTGTTCCTCGCATTCAGCTACAAGGCAGTATTGTTGAAAGATCATCGCTTTCTGTCTTGTTTGCAATGAGTGGACCATTTTGTACAACTAGGTTGTTCTACATTGGGTTGTCCATGCGTTGAACCTATTTTGCAATACGAGAATTGGGTACTCCTCTAAATCCCGGATCTGATTCACTGGTGGTCCGCTTTCGTAGGAAACCAGTGTGTTTTTTGGGGTCCAAGATTGGTGGGAAAACCCTTAATATATATAATAAATAAATAAATATATTTTGTATATATGAAGTGAAACATATGTAGATATATTTTATGAATATATTTAGGTTTCGGCTGACAGATCGCCCCACGTGCTATCAACCGCGGGCGCGCTGCCTTAGCATTTGCGCTTTGGCCCCTTGTGTTCTGCAGATGCAGTGCAAGTCTGCAACACCTTGGCTTGCCCAATTCGTTTTTCCCGCGGCCTCCATCTTTGACCTTCTGGACTTTGACATCGCCTTCAGATTTTGTTCTGCTTGCGAGTCCCAGCCGTTAAGTTGAATACCATCACTAGGGTATGCCTCTTCCCCATTGAGGAGCTGCTCATTAGACATCAAGACAAATGTCTTTTCTGGCACAGCAACCGAGTATGTCGAACCACGTGTCACTGAACCACTCCAAATCGAGGATGGCGACTATGTTCAAATTTTTCATTGGTGACGAAGAACGACGACATCGCTGTGACTATGACAACAATGAGATGACAGCGTTGCAGATGGTCCCAACTCTTAGACTTCGAGTCTCTGACAAATACGTTGTACAAAATGACAATTTGGACATCTGTGCCAATGATCATCGTCAAAGGCTTCGCCGTCGACGACAAAGACCTACCGACGATGAGGAAGACCCAGATCTTGGACGCTTGAGAGAGCTCTGGAATCGACCTCAACTACGTACACGTGGCATTGACAACGAACCGGTTATGCTGTTCGAAACTTGGTATGTCAATGGACCCAATTTTGCCAGATGTTCCACATCACGAGCAGTTGCCTTGCCTGCAGATGTCACATTGTGGGACGCAGCCTTGCGAAGAGTGTGGCCAGATCGACAACATCCACACTGGCCTATGCGCATCGTCCCAGTCATGCCAACACCACATCCTTTGCAACCTGCAGCACAACATGGAACTCATGGAGGACATCTCATCGTCCTGCAGCATGATCATCCCGAAGAAGCAGGAGTACGGTTGAGCACATATGGCTCACCTGATGATGATCGCTATGCACAGCTTGTGCCACAGACTCTGGACCTTTGGACGACTTCTATGGTTTCTAGATCAAGAGGTACTTTGCAGTCAGCCGCGTTGTCATTGCCGAGGCATCCGCGGACCACGGGCCATTCCGAGGGATCTTCCATGGATGGCAATTGATGGACAGCATCTTGAACTCTATCTCTCACTACAGATTGATGAGGATTTTGCCATGATGCAGGCTACGACAGGTTCAGTATCTCGGGTGAGTCATGTTGAACCTGTGGAGGCTTGCCATACACGAGCTCCTGTGCCTTGTCACACGGCCAGACGGCCAGTGAACATGCCATTGGTTTTACCTCTACCTCAGGCCAGGGAGAGGAATTTGCCTTCAACGCTGCAGCTCCAACTTTTGATCCTGCTGGGCCGCCTATACAGGCAATGCCAGAAGTGATACAAGATCTACATGAACTATGGTTGCGTACAGCTTTTGCGTGGGAAGATGAGCCCATGTCTGCACAAATCATCACATGGTTTGTTGATCAAACTGCTCCAGAACGCAGAGCTTGTCATCGCCCTAGACTTGTAGGACTGTATTTTGATGTCCAGGCATGGGAAGAACACATCCGACGCACATGGGATGAAGTAGCCCTACCAGGACATCCAATCTTTCTACATGTGGTCAGCCCATCGCCACCCAACTTGGCGCAAGGCATTGTGCACGGCTCACATCATTGTGGTGCGAAGACCCCGTGAGGAACTCTACACGAGTCTGTTGACTGTGTGTATGACACTGCGCGACGACTACCAGAACCATCCATTCATATTGCCCTGACGACCACAGAACACATTTTCTTGGAACACTTGATCCATGGACTTTTGCAAGGCCGACAGCCCCTCCAGAGGAATCGACCTATATGCATGATGTGTAAGATCTGCTTGAAAGGACCAGCGGGTGAAGGAGTTCGCCTTTCAAGAAGCGTGACTTCGAGCTCAAGCTCGATGGAACATGCTGCCCCTGCGTGATTACCATTCACACTCTCGAGTCCTTGCGCTCGACAGACCCATCATTGATTGCCGCAGGACCTTGATTGCAAACCAACATTGGTGTACACCAGCTCCGCTCTATGAGGCCAGCTGCTCATCATTCCGGACGCCTTGGACGTTGAGGAAGCCAAGATGCACCTCATTGATGCTGCGTGATCGGGCCATTTGTCATGGACTAAATGCAGTAAGACACTTGCTCGTTTGCGAGATGACCTCACTTCGGAGGACCTTGATGCACGCGCTCTACTTTCTGAACTTTGCCAACCTGCGGCATGGCCTTTCCTACGTGAGTCGCGTCATGGCTCCGAGGATGTTGCTCCCGGTAGTCTGCAGGATTGGGACGTGCAGGTGATATCGTTGCTGATGGATGTCTTCCTGGCTGCATTCCTCGTCCAATCAGCAAACATCGCATTTTGCTCCATGCTTTCTCCGGGCGTCGATGACGCGGTGATGTGGAGTGGCTCCTCGACGCCACAGGTTGCCTCATCAGCGTTGTATCTCTGGATATTGTGTCGACAAGGTCTAACGAGAAGACCGAGACCAGGTGGCTGCATGCCATCCTCCAAGGATGGGTCACGGCCTTCCAAGGTGGTCCTCCGTGCAACACTTGAGCCGCGCGCGACATGTGCAGCAACGTGGCGGCCCTCGGGTCATTAGGCAGGTGGACAAGCCAAGGCCTCGCCTCACTATGCCTCAAAGAGCTTGAGCAGATTTTGATGGGACATCTGCTTTTTGGATTTGCATTGGAATGCATGACCCTTCTTGCTTTGTGTTGCAGCACACGGTTTCCATGTGGCGCCTTCCGGTGATGCAATCGATCTCCTGCCGAACATGCGGCTGGTCACGTTCGTGCAAGGGCTGCTAGGTGCTCCGAGCCCCAAACCAACGACATTGTTGGTTTTTGGACTCCATGGCCTTGAAGCTGACATGAGAGCCGGACGTGTCACCACGGACCTGCCACATGGGTCCTCTGTGGGTAAAGGCGCGACAGGTCAATACAGGACCGCGCCGCTGAAAGAATATCCACCAGCTATGTGCCGAGCACGCTGAATCTTTTTATCGCGATCTCATTAGACAAGGTACAGGCAGTGAGATTCAGGCGCCCTCACCATTCCTTCAACTAGTACAGCATATGAAGGACCATGATTTGGGCTGCCACATTGGCCACGACGGCTGATTTGTACATGAATTCACTGAGCTGAGCCGCTGCGAGAACGGCGACATTGGGCCGAAAGTGAAAATATATATATATATATACGCACCATTACACACCTAAACCCTCCATGTTCCCCAATTTCTAGATGATTTCCCCAGCTCATGTTGATGGGTTTTCCCATTTCCGGACGGTCAGGCTAAAGCAACCGCTAAACGTCGAGGCCGTGAACTTTGAGCCCTGGTATCCACGGGTAGGCCAGGCAGGTGGCTTGCGAGTGGCAACTCATGGGGATTCAACAATCCAATACTAGGGATTGAACCAGCAAAACAGAGGACTTCACCGTAAAAGATCGGGATTTCACATTGGCATCAGCAAAAAATCATGAAGCATTTGGGATTTCGCCATGAAACAGCTGGGATTCTGTTGGCTGACCTGAAAGGTTGTAATCTAAGCTGAGTAGGTTGATGCTGCCACAGGCAAGCTTTTGGGCGGCAAGTCCTCGGCGCGGAAAGAGCTCTTTGATGCCTTGAACTTTGCAGCCTTCTATTTGCATGAGGCAATCCCTGAAGCACCGGGAGGCAGGGTCTTGTACCTTGGAATGCAGGATCTGACCCGTCTGTGAAGGAGGACAGATATACTATATATACAGACTATACATGATGAACTTCAATTATGAATATATATATATATATATTATGTGTATGTATATATATATAATATTATATATATGTACATATATATATATATATGTGTGTGTGTACATATATATATATATATATGTATATACACATATATATGTATATACACATATATGTATATATATACACATATATATACACGTGTATATATATATGTATATACACGTGTATATATATATATGTATGTAAATTTACATATGTATGTGCATACATACATATATATATGTATGTATTCGTATATATACATATATATATTATTTATTGACATGTACATATATATGTTTGTACATATATAGATATGTCATTTCGTCTTCTTCAGGTTGCACCAGTAATACCATTTACATGAGATTTGCCTAGGAAGGTTGAATTCCCATGACCCATGATGGTCATTCTATGGGGACAGGACCCATGTATATAGAGGCCGCCAACTCAGTTCCTATCTGCCCAGCTAGGGTTCAAACATGCTGCGGCCTACCCTCCGGAAATCGAATTTGGCAGTCAACCTCAATTTGTTGAATCCCCCTTTTCAAATGGTAAATCCGCCAGCCGATGCCCCCCAAACCTCCGTTACCATGCTCATAAATATCATGTTAAATCCAGTGTCTGGTGCGTTGCCAAGTCGCCATTCTTGTTCGCTCAGACCATGTTAAATTGTCCATCGCTGTTAGTTGAACCCCAATTTCTTGCTGGTGAAAACTCCATTTGGTTGCTGGTAGTACCTGGATAAAGTCATGTATCCCCATTGGTTCAACCATGTAAATTCATGTCAAAGTTGTAATCATAGTATAAAGCCGTATGCATATACGCAAATTACAAGAATATATACTATTTTTTGCTGATCAAGTCTTCATTGTATGCATACACATACTTATATATCTATAATATTCTCATATCTATAAAATACCTATTTCATGTAAAGATACTCAGGTATTTGGATACCGACGTGGTGGTGAAATCCGACCTCAGCGAGCTGCTCTCGGTGAACTTCCGGGGTCATCCCGCGGCGGCGGCGGAGGATTGCTCCCAGCGCATGGGTTGCTGGGCCGGTGGGCAATGGGGATGAGCTGGGGATAATTTATATAATATAATATAATATATAATATAAAATATAATATATAGTATAGAATACAATATATAATATAATATTTGCTATGGGATAGTATAATTTAATATAATAATATATATATATGATATAGGGGTTATATAGGAATTATGGAGATTTCATAGGGAACAATGATCTAGGGAATACATCGCAATCATTCATATTATGGAGATTATCTGGGGAACATGTGGAGTATCGATTATCTATGTTCCATATCTTTTGTGCGGATGATATTGGGATTATCTGCGGATATACTATGGATAGGTGGATGATATGTGTACGTATGGCTGATGATACTTATCTAGCACATTCTAAGATACTTATCTAGCAAATTCTAAGAAATCTAGTGCCAGTAAATATCCTTAATTGTTGTTTTCTTTAACTGCCTATGGCTGATGATATAAGAGTCATGATGAATTGGTATTAAATTGTATTAACCAACAACAATGGGGACTTTAACAATGAACAATGGATAGTTTGTTCACTTTTGGTGAAAAAACATAGCGTATGGGTCAAACATTCAGGCCAAAAAAACCACATATCGCTTGCTCCTTCAGGAACTTCACTTAACCATCCAACTTTGGGTCTTTGTCTCGTCGTCACCCCTGTTTTGTTTTTTGGTTGGTTTTTTACTTCATGATCACAATCGCTGGTGCGGATTTCACGCGTAGCTGGTTGTCTCTATCGCTGTCACACAGCACTAAAGTCAAAGGCGGAAAAATCCAATTTTGGGTTACCCAATTTCAACCCTCACCCGACATATATGGGGATATAACCGAACCAACAAGTGACTGGGGTGTTCTAGATTGGGAACCCGCCCAACCATGGTTGATTCCTGCCACAAAAAGGACGATGTTTGCCGGTTGTTGGTGGGACCAATTTTATGTCACACCCAACTTAGCCTCGGTTGAATTGCCAGCTGTGATCACAGTTGTAGGGAAGATCCAACTCCATTCATGAGGGATGATCAGTATTTTTTTCCCAACGGCACTCCCAAAAACTTTGAAGCCGTTCTTGGCCAAAAAAAAGGATGAATAAGTTTTCATCACCTTCCGTGGTTCCTACACCTCCACCATGTCCTGGTTGGTAGCACCATGTCTTAGGCAGCTTCGCAGCGTCCATGCTGAGGCAAGTATTTGGATGTGGATCGTTTGAAGTCCAAGGCGCTTCAAAGTGAGTTGCCTCCTGCACTTCATGCGTCGAAGAAGGGTCACTTGGAGTTGGAGAAGGATGTGGCAGTAATGGTGGATCATCCTTTGAGAAGTGTGGAAAAAATGGGGTTTTAACTGTGATCATCCCTTATCCTTTGCTGTATGCTGTGATTGCGAGATTGTTGACATTGCGCGTTCGCTCGTGAGTACCCGGAGTACGCTCTTCATCACTAGGCCTGGTATACCTGGTCGGCTTTGTTTGAGAATGTTGGTACTAACCCATTCACGATCTCTTCAACACTTCAACAATCTTGTGCCATAGTTGTTGAACAAGTCCAGATCAAAACTTCCTTTTCCACCTAGTGAATCCTAGCTAACTCTAGTGACATGTTTGCAGGTGAACCCCCCACCGTCCTCATCCGTCCTTTACGGCGTTCTCAGGTTGCGTCATCAACCGCGGTGTGGTCTTGGTGGATCTGAAAGCTTGGAAGGCGCAGAACATCACTGGAGTCATCGAGGATCTGGTCCGTCTACACCTCACCAAAGGCCAGAAGTCACTGGGGAATGCGGAGACATGCTTTAGGCAATAGTATATAATTATACATACCCATATATAATATATAATTACTATTAATTATTGATTATAGGGACTTCTATGGGGATTTATTTTTTTATATTGTAATATATGGAAATTAAGCCATTATATAACTGGATTTGTATATACAGTATGTTGTATAACTGAGGATTTGAATATGATCTATACTCCCATCTCCGATGAGGAAATTTGTTCGTTGAGCATTAAATAAAGAGCCCTGCTTGGTGACAATGATAGATTCTTTTTGCCCCCACCATATTTCTGGATCTATGTTTGGGAATATCTTATACTTTTGGGGAATACTTATAGATCTTATAGGAACTAAAGACTTAAAATTCTACCTTTGGGGCTGAACATAGACCGAGATTTACTGTGTTTGGTTTCTTTGATCTTAGCATACGTGATCATACAAGTGTAATCAAGTCTTTTCAGCTCCGTTTCACCAGTGATATTGTACCCACTATTGTTCTAAAATTGATGGACCACATACACAGACACAAGTAAAGTCGAGTAGAGTTGGTCGGAGATGGGCATATCGATGTCTACCTTTATCTACACATCTTGTATTCATACAGTATACAACGAATTCAAACAACCCAACAGACAGCACTCCGAGTTTCCCTTTTTCCAAGCACATTTACGACACAAAACTCCCAAGAACCAGAAAAAAATCTCACCTGACCTGACCACCGCTCCGTCGCAGCGGAGGCAAGGGCCCCCTCTGGCGCGCGGGGGTGTCGCAGCCGCCCTTTCTGATCGCCTTGGCCGGGAAGTTCGTGGACCTCGGCGCCGAGTTCAACGTGAGGGGCCTGGGACGTGGCGACATCGCGCCGGAGGAGGCGGGGAGAATGTCTACTGGATATAAACAATGATAGAGAAGTTGGCAGTTACATGATGTCACTATTGTTTCAGGTATGGTTATGGATTACTATTTGATTATCATATATTATCATATATTGATTATCATATATTGATTATCATATATTCTCATTGATGATGATTGATGATAATCTGCAGATCTTATGATTATGGTTTCAGATTTGGGCTGCTGGGTTTGGATCCTTTGGAAACATGGGGCCTGGTTTCCCGGTGCCCAGGTGGACTTCTACAAGAAGAAAAAAATGCCCCTTGCCGCAGATTGGAATTTTCGAGAAAACCCATTGCTGGCTCCATCAAAATCACGATGTATTGCTGTCATATCCAGTGCTAGCAGGTGCAATGAAAAGAAGGCACCCTAAGGTCTACCATGCTGTTGGTAGAAATTGTGGAATAGAATGTATAGAAGCAACCAAATGGGTCTATATGGCCAAGACATCAGTTATACTCTACTTTTTGTAGGGAAACCATGGTTTGTTTTGCGGTACATGTTTTGGGATACACCAAGACGGAGCGAGTTCTGGGTGATCTTCCAGCCGCCACCTGAGGTGGGACCCATACTTTGACAAGTTCCTGTACAAGTGCAAATTTCACTGTTGTCCAGGCACCATTTTGGGCAACGACTCATCAAATGGTTCCAGGGATGCAAGTGAAGATGACTGCACCAGGTTTTGTATTATGAGCAATATTGAGCAAGGGAGATGTGATCATGTCTCATGTTGATGTGTCATTTTGTTGTGAGCCTGTGGATAGATATGGATAGATGATGCATCCGTTATCTCTGCTGCATTTCTGTGTTTACAATTGCTAGGATTTGCGTGGCAGATGTTGGGGGATGCTGTTTTAGTCTTTCAACGTTGATGTTTGGTGGAGAAATGCGTGGATTCTGTGTGATTACATCTACTATACGTATCATGTAAAACATATATCCTATATCGTTGCTGATGATATGTGATTCAAAGTTATACAAATCTATCACATAGATCTACATATCAAATATATTCACACACACATATTACATATACAGGGCACATGACACTACTTGTGTAGTAATTACACATGCAAATTTCGTTGATCTATACAATGCATGCTGGTCTCCATAATATGACCTAACTGTGCCAGGATGCAAAGGTTGGGCCTTGTCGCCCTACATTTCAGCGCCCGCACAAAAGGCGCGGGGCAGAACCTGGCGTATCATGGGGATGAGGATATTCGTGGTGATACGTAAGATGGTGCCTATCCAATGGATATGAGGATATAAAAAAGGTACACCATTATTGATGTGGGGATATTCATCGTGATGGGGATATGAGTGGCAAAGAAAAAAGCAACATAATACTGCTTTTATCCTGGTGCCGTGGTTTTACATCAGAATTGACATCTTTCTCAATTCCTATCAGGAGGTTTGATTGGATTTCTGATCAATCTGGGTTTGTCCGAAAATAGGGTACCTCCAGATCCACTGATGCATCATCATTTCTCCATAACAATTGCTATTTTGGCTGTATGAACCCAATTTCAGACACACCCATATCGTATTGTTGGTTTATTATAGTTACATCCCTACATCCGATTACATCACATATTAAATATCCTCATTTTACCATCCACTATAATACTATATATATATCCCTACGCCCATTATCTCCTCACTGCAGCTCCCCTCCGTGCGAGGCCAAGATTCTGCACTTCAACGGTCGACTGAAGCCAAGTCATTCCAAGAGACGTGATCTGAAAAAGGTCACGCCGCCCAAGCAGGACATGTCGGAGGCAGCGGGAACTTGGGGATCTTGGGGGATGTTTCTTTTTTGAGTGGGGTATCCCAAATGTTGCTAACTTATTTTATGGATTCTAGTGGACGTTGACATCGATACTGTTTATTTACAGTTACTCCATAAGGCTTTGATTTGTTTATCGTAACATTCTCCAATGTGAACAAGCGCCCGCTTGAGAATTTGACCTCCGATTGCTTAGCCATACTCATTTGATTGCCTGAGATGGCTGATGTTGGCTGATGTACATTGATCATGTACCATTGCACTTATGAGTTTTTTCATGGATGTTTGGATCAATTTTATTGATATATATATATACTATATTGCAGGAAGGATTCGGTTCGGTTGGGTTCGGTTCCTAATAGGTAGGAATCGGTTCGGTTCGGTTCCACGCGCTGTTTGAAAGGGGCTCAGAACAGCAAATCCGTTCTTGCATGACACAGCATGTTCCGCATTTGTTTTGGCTGGATTCGGCTCCGTTGTGGTGATGTCGTCTTACGTTCAAGGCATAATATTATTATGTTTTATATAGATATATGCTGTAATTCATGTATATTACAACATTATATACTGTAGACTTATATGAAACAAAAATCATGGATGTATTTTGGCTATTTGTTCACATGAAACATCTTTGGTGATGGCTTGCCACAGCTGAAGGAAGAGCGCGCAGCTCGAGAACAGCGGCCATTGTGCAGCTGTGGCAGTCAGTGTGTGCAGGAGATGTTTTCAGACGTTGGGATAGTGATTTTCAGAGAAGGATTGAAATATGTACCGAAGTTGACCTGCTTTTTGAAACGAGGAGATGACCTTGGCATGGGTCAACATGACGTACCCCAACATGGGGTGCTTGAACATCCCAACATTAGTAGTTTGGTTGGTTGGATGATTCATGTATTGATGTTCACCCCAAAAAATCACTAAGAATAGCCACTTGGTGCATCTTGATGCTGGATCAGTCGTTCCAGGAGTGCGCTGGGATTTGGTGGGAGTACCTGCCTCCATGAAAAAACAGGTCGTCCCTGCAGCAAGTGAAGCTGGTCAGGTGGTCAGGGATGAACATGTGTTGTCGCTGGTATCCTGAAATTGCTCCTTGGCCTTCTATGATAATCCCTGATGTGTGTGTGTGTGTCGGTGTCGATATTTGTTGTATACACATGTATACACGTGTATTCAGAGATTTAAGCCAGACTGCAACATGAAGCAACGCCTGCTGGAAACATAGACGTGGACGAACCTGCAGCTGTCACAGCTTTGTATTCAGATTCATGGAGTGCAGCTCATGCATGCGAGTTAGATCAAGAAAGGCATTTACTTTAAACATGTTTAAATGTACGTATGTCATATTGGGAATGCATCATTTTCAACACTCTCTTTGGTAACTATAGTTGAAGTATGTTGATGTCGAGGTTCCTTCAACATGCACAGTATATGCACTGCTTTCTTCCATGCACGGAGTGTGCTTTTGCAGATGGTAGCCGGCTCGACCCGAATGCTTTCAAAGCCAACCAAATCAAAATAGTGATGCGCGTAACTGATGGGTTTGTTTCTCTGAAAATAGGCCCCTAGATCTAGTGGCTAATGAACATTTTCCCTCTTTAATGTGCTGTTTTGGGTGTATACTGTATACCCCATTTTCAGACACACACACACAAATGGCCGTATAGAGTCCAGCGCATGACGTTCCTGCGTCATACCGGACTTCGCTGACATGGGTGCGGTTCCGTGCTCAGCGCTGTAAGTTGAATTTGAAGATGATGGAACGGTGTATTGGAATATATTGGAAAACCGCGTTGAGGGGCTTGGCATATCTTGGCATTTGTGAGCTTTTCATTTGGACGACGGCAGTTATATAACTATAAGAAAGTGACAGTTGTTTGTTTTTTGTTCTGTGCTGCTTGGTGGTTTCAAAGGTGTCTTATTCTCAACCCTATTGGGATGATGATCCAAGTTGACTATAATATGCTTCAGAGGTGGCTCAGCCACCAGATGTGTCAGATATGACATACATTTCTTGAGCCCTGGCCTGGGCTGCTGGTCTCCAACGCCTCTCTGAGGTACACTCAGATACACACGGAGAGCTGCAATGTCAAAAGCATTTGTTCTCCTTGCCACCAGGTGGGATTTGATCCTCTTCAAACGAACATGTCCGATTGTTGTGTGCATATATTCTTTTAACACACAAAGTTGCAGATCTTGAAAGACCTTACGAAGGTCACCTATGAGTCACGTGTCGGGATTCTTTTGATGGACTTAAGAGCGAGTATGGACTTGAGGTCCAAGCAGTCGCACCCATGGATCGAGTATAAGAAAACTAACGAATGTATCCCGGAAAGGTAAAGAAATCTGCTGAGTCTATTTTCACAATGCTTTCTTTGAAGAACCCTTAGATCTCACATCTCCAGGGTACATGATGTACATGGCAGATTGATTATGATTGATTTACATATTGTCATATTCTCCATATTTTCCTGGAGCTTTTGGCCCTGTTCTTGGGCACGAGGTGTCATCTACCTCAACTGTGCTTCCCGCTCACCCATGTTGCGCTCAGCCCGTTTGCCCAGAAAATTCAGCGATGGTTGCGGGGTCGGACCTCAACAACCAAGGCTTTGACGATAAGCAATGACAATGGCTTTTTTGCATCGGAACTTCAGAGTGTACAAATGGAAACAGGGTTACAAACCAACAATGAGGGTACTGGTATGTATAATATGTTTTGAATATTTTTGATATGACTGACCAAAGTACATGATACTTATGGAATACGTGGACACAAGATAGGACCTGGTTCATGGTTTGAACTACGTGTTATTTTCCTTGTAATCATGAAAAACGAACCGCAACCCCCAATTGATGTTCACATGTTTCAAGTGAATTTCACAACATCAACCCGTTCCAGAAAACGCTTGAAACAGGAATAAACCCCAATTGATGTTCATTAACCTGACAATAACCTCCTAATTGATATCCAAAGTGCGAATTTGTTTGCTTTTCTTCATCCCTATTGAAATCAGCTGCATTGAGGTGGAAGAAATTGGACACCAAGCCGTGTCACTGAAGAAGCATCCATGGCGAATCAGTGACAATGGCATTCCGGACAAGGTGACTTGTTGAATCTTGTTGACCTCACAAGAGTACTGAGGATCGTAACTTTTCAGCGAGATTTTAAGTGCTGTCAAAGGAGCTTCTGCTAGAAAATGAGGGGAACCATGGGGAACCACAGATTTGTGAAGTTTCTCTTTATGTGCAACAGATCGCGAATATGGTGGCGAGTTTTCCAGCTTTAGTACATCAGAACTTGAGAGATAAAATCAATGAACCGATTATAGACATCACATTTCTTAAGCCATGCCTGGTGATTTGGGTCGGTAGTTTACCTTTCACAAGAGGATCCTCTGTTTCCAACTCTATGGACACAAGCGCCCGCCTTCCAGACCTTCCAGAAATGCCCAGAATGTGACGTCCCTGTGGCGTTTGAAGCAGCAGCAGCAGCAACAACAACAACAAGTCATATAACATCATATAACATCATACATATAACATAGCATCATAGAACAACTACACCATCATTCACATGATATTGTTATATATAATCAGATATACAGTTTTCATGAATGCCATATTATAGGAAGTAAATACACTAGATCTCCAATCACCAGTGGACCCAGGTGCGAGCGCAGTTCGCTGAGCTCATCGGCGTCAAGGCGGCAGAGGTGGCCTTGACGCCGTCCACGTCGTACGCCATCTCCCAGGCGTTGCCTGGGGATGTTAGTTATAGATGAACAATGATGAATATATTTCCAGGACTTTCCAGGTTTCCCATAGTTTCCCATATTTTTATATCTGTTGGTTGATTACCGTATAGAGGTTTGCAGAATTACTAGATGTGTATAGTATATTTATGCAAAGGTGGTTGCATATAATATATAATATGATAATACAATATATATATATATATTATATTACAATATGTATGTATATATATATATGCTATGATATGTTATATATACTTTATAGCAAGCTCAGACGAGGTAACGCGGTGGGTTTCAGATCTCTATGTATAGTATATGTATATCACATATTATATATATTATATAGAATTCAGCAAGGTCTGATAAAACTAATGGGAAATAAGGGAGAACAGACAAGGTTCACTTGAACTTGAAGCCTGAATTGTTTCATTGATCGAAACACTGCAGAGGATTCTGCACAAGATTTGAGCGACACTCGGCATTTGTACAAGTTCCCCCAGCTGGAATGGCATCTCCCATCCAGCTGGCCAAGGGGACCCACGCTCCAGCACTTGGACCATAGCTATAGAAAGTCAGCTGTGTCGTGTCGAGCCTCTAAAAACACTTTTTTTATCATGTCAGAACCATACTGTAGTTGCTAATGGCCACACAGCTAAGATTTATGGGACGGTTGTCCGACCAGATGCTGGGTTGCCAACAGCTACCTGGATAGGTAGCGCACAACATTTTGAAGCTTGGTCGAATAGAAGCAGGCAACATCCTTGGGACAGAGGGGTGGTGATTGCTGGTGAAAGTGGTGACAGCTGCGTTTAGCATCAAATCCCTTGTGGTGCTTTCAATCCATTTTTAGCATTTCAAAAACTGGCCAATAACACACTTGATCGCATGCGATGCGGCCATGTATTGCATCATGGTAATGGGGCGGCCATCCACCACAGTGATCTTTTGTGTTGCAGTTCCGCTATTGGGGCCCTTTTGGCTTTTGTAGTCGTGCGATCTTCCATGACCATATTTGCCCATGGGCAGTGCAAGTTTGATGCGCAAACAGGTGATGTGGTCATCATTCTCCAAAACCAGATGAGCTCCAACGCAACTTGGCCTGCTAAGCAGTCTGAACCTGTTTGACATTGAAGCGTGGCAATTCTCAGAATCGCTTACTGTAACGGTCAACTGACCATATCCTCGCCTCTCGACTGTAAATCTATGTTAAATCTATCTAGTGTGAAACGCTGTTAAGCTCGTAAAGTGATCCATAATGGGTTATCGTCCAACTGGTATAGTATGGTTATACATATTATACATTTCTGCTTATACCCAATATCCCGTGAGTTACATCCCCATCTGCCAATAGACCATATAGACCTCGTTCACCCACTGCATGCAATTCATGACCACACATTTGCTCATAGAAAAATTACTTTCTTCGAGTGATCCCCACCCTGACAATTATTCTGACATACCATCTGAAAGGGATGCAAGTATATATTGGATGTGTATTCTGACATTCTATCTGACATTCTTTCTGGCATACGTATACTCTGACATTCTTTCTGGCATTCTATCTGGCATGTATTCTGACATCCTATTCTGCAACGATACATCTCAATTATCGTGGACGTTAGTTTCCGACTTTACTATCAACATATCGTGGATACTTTGGACTGAGTTTAGATATTTGAGATACATCTCAATTATCATAGACGTGATTTTCCGATTTTACTATTTCAATAATATCTATTCACAGCAAGCCCCAAAAAGATAGAAAACATGTTACCAGGGTGATAGTTCGATTCGATGACGCTTTCTAAATCTATGTTCCAGGTTTCGAATTTTTCGGTCTGTTTTGGGGGTTGCTAGTGATCCCCAAATAGATGGAAGAAATGCTGTACAATCCTACTAGAGCGATAAATCAGTTTTATATTTTTTGGGTCTGACTATAATATCCAGCTAGAAAATGATTAATGATTGAATAACTATAACTTTCAATACATTTATTGTCAGCCCTTTTTTGGTTCTTCCCCACGATTGCTGGTTCTCAGAGGTCTATGCCTGGCAACGCCTCTGCCGCGAGTCCTCTGCAAAGCTGGTGGCCATTAGAGGCGAGGTCGGGGGAGGCCGACATGATGTGAGGCTTGAAAAATGGAAATTGATCCATCCAAGTTTGGGATTTAACACGATTTAAGCATCAAAGAGTTAGATTTGAACATGAATTATTGCAGCAAACGCTTGGATTTAACATGATTTAACCACCAACATGAATTTAAGCATGAAAAACTTGGATGATATAACCATCAAACCTTGTAAAGGGATATTGGGCAGCTAGGTCAATACCCAAAGCTTGGGTGGTGAACAACAGGGTACCAGTGTGTTGACTCGATTCCATGTGTTTTTGGGCCAAGACCTTGCCAAAGTGAAGAGTATTCATTGTACCAAAGTGGGACAACATGGTTTTGGGTCAAAATTGAAAAGATTTGAACAGTGAAAACGTGCTTAAGATAATAAGGAATGGGTCTTGACTAGCAGACTAGCATCAAGTATATACAGGTTTGGGTTGAACTCAAAAGTTGATCCTGTCCATGATGTGGGTCGGGAAGGCAGTTTTTTTTTTGACAACAATCTACGGTGCCACGGCAGAATATGTCGAGACCTGGGCTGACCCATGCGATGTGGGTTGGGTATTGTTGACTGTGAGCTGAACTTTGAAGACCTTGATTAATTGACTTTAGATTCTAAGCCTGAACCATACCAATATACATATTAATACACAGGATGTAGCATGATAATAAGGTGATAAATATCCTAAGATCATATAAATCATGCAATATCATATAATGATGTATATATATAATACATACATAATTGTCGATCTAAAAGTCCATGTAGAGATTGTCCAGTAAAAAGGCCGCCATGGTTCCAACATGAGACCCTGCGAAGTTTTTTTTCTGAGTTCGCAAGAGTATTTTTTTGGCGGACGATCTAGCGAATGATTTTAATATGAGACCCCCGCGAAAGATAAACGCGGGTTCGCGAAAGATTCGCGAAAGTACTTGTTTTATTTCAGAATGGCCGTTTGCCGATAAAGGAATTTAGATCAACCGCCACACATATAAAATATACATTCATAATATTAATCACATAACTTCTGGGATGCTGCAATCATCGTTTTTTCATGTTTTTACATTCAGGTTATCATATAAAGTTCAATATGGATGCATCATTTTTTTGGGGAAGGCTAGCAGCAGGTGATGACAGTGGATGGGATGAAGCTTTGGAGAGGTGTATCCGACAGGAAAGTTCTGCAGGCCGGGACGAACTGGATATCTTGGGCGCCAGGTAGATGCAGCTACATAGAAAAGTTTGACATGTGGATTTGTCCAAAGATGGCACCCACAAATGCAATGGTATCCAATGATATATCATCATTTGCCTATTCATAGTCCTGTTTTGGGATGTGCAGTATACCCGCCATACTCGGAAAGAACTATTTGACAGGAATCAGAATGACATTACAGCTTCTGTAGGTTTGCGTTTTTGAGAGTACATTGAGCTGATAGAATGATAGAACTATGACTATGATAGAACTAGGTCTATTGGGTCAGACGTGCAAACATGTGTGTGTGTGTGAGGGAATAAAGAATGCTGTTCTGATCAGCAACTCCTTTTGATTGCACGCTATCCTATTTTCGGCCACCTGTTCCACTGTCATTTTGCATAGGAATTGCAGCCTGGTTTTCGCTGAACATGACATAACCGCATGTCTTAACTTGCCTGATGGTTGCATTATGTATGCAGCAAAAACTCCTCGGAAGTTCTGAAGTATGATGTTGCATTTAACGGTTAACAATGTGCAGTCATTGATTTTCATATTTTTCTCCTGCAGGTCAGCGGGTGGCGGTGTGCGCTGTGCCGCACTTCCTGTGGACCGATGGATCGGGGCCAGTGGACTTTGCTCGGCTGAGGAAGGCGCTTGCGTTGGGTCCACTTTGAGCAGTACATCAATGAGGAAGCACATGAGTTTTCATGTATGTTTGTGGAGTGAATAAGGCTGACACTTTATTTGCTAGTAAAGTGTGGAATGGGTGAAGTCTGAAAGGTGATCATGTCAAATGTTGACAGTCAAAAGTTAGGTACAGCTCAGTACAGCTCCAACCAATTTCTGGACAAGAACAGGACAAGAACACCACTCACTGGGTTTCTCGGAAAAATCGGGCATCCCCATATCTCACCGTTGATCCCCATTTTTTCATCATTTTCCATATGTTTCCCATAAACAGATTGCCATAAATTAGTGTGCATCCCACCATTTCTGAACACATCCATCAATAATCATGAATTCCTCTATACTATACATATATATATATCTACTATAGGTATATAATCCATTATAATCCCCGTTTCTATAAGATTCCATTAAAATCCCCTATGTTGGCTGTTTGAATCCCCATTTTACAATTCCCAAGGTTCCAACTAAGCCAGGATGGCCCTGGCAGATCTGGCAGGTCTTGGATGAGTTGAGCCCAACGAAGCGCAGCTGTTTGGTGGTGGACGCCACGCAGTCTTTGGGGGTGGTGCCCATTGCGGTGAAATCTGCTGGCATTGATTGGCTGGCGCCCTGGATGCCCTGGATGCCTTGGGACTGCTGAAGAGCAGACTTGTCACAAGACATCTGGACTGAACACCGTTAGAACATTTGAGGGCGATGAGAAAACAAGAGATAAATTTAAGTGTAATTAATGCTTCAAAGGTTTGACCCAGGACTCTGGTAGAACTTTGTTTGTGGACCATTGGTGGTATTTGTTGGCATGTTCCTCAAGAGTACCCTTATCTCATGGACAAGACAGTTGCCAGAGGAGATTTGTTGGCTGCTATGACGGACCTCATGGGCTGTCAAACACTGACCCCACACGGTACATAGCATCTGAGGCATGTTCAGTGCACAAGTGGCTCTTCGGGCCGTATGGCATGTCTTTGGTGACTGGGAACACGTGTGCCATGGGGTTGACCGGATGATTTCAAGGGGTGGAAAGGTTCTGGTGACGGCAAATTTCCGGAGCTGAGAAGTGGCTTTTACCAAGGTGCCAGACTCAAAGAACCATCCATTTCTGATAATATAAAGCAAAGGAAAAACCTGGGTGAGGGGAGAGACAGTCATCAAATGGCAGCAAGACTGCTGAAGGTTTCTGAATTCTTGAGATCCAAGTTGCATCTCCTGGCTGAGGTATATGCTGCTGAAGAATGGAGCAGCAATCCTATGACAGAGCCAATCGTTCAGGTTGGTAATGGAAAGTTCGGGGCTGTACAATCCTCAATAAGCTCGGTGAATCTTGGGCTAGTCCATTTGCAGCATAGCTTTTACTTCTACGTGGTAAGTAATGCGTGATGAGACAAGGTTGGATCAATGGATGCCCATTCTATTGGAACTATGTACTATGGATTGCATATGCATGACATGCACATTGGAATGCATCCCCATCCATCCCCATTGCTGTTGCCGTGGTTGGTCAGGATGAGCACAATCGTTTGGGTGCCGACGGCGACATTTGCTTGCCCTTTGAAATGTCACCTGTTGGCTATTCGGATGCTTTGCAGCAGTCTAGTGATTAGGATTTCCATGCAGTGCTATGGCACTATGGAGTATGGTCTTGTACTTCTCTTGGACAACACTTGATTGCTTCATTTGGGTTGTTTAGCGCAGCATGTTTGCTTTTATGTTTTGAAAACTGCTTGTGCTTCAAGTCTATGCAATTCTATTCATGCCTTAGAAGAGTACTGTGTTTTTTTTGTCGGACACGCTTCCCCCCCGGCGGCTGAAGTGGTTCCTATCGCTAGCATCGAGAGCTGGGAAACAATTGGAACCCAAACATATGTTATATTCCTAAATATATCCAACATTTATATAGGAATATCCAACATATACATAATACATATACATATACATATACACATATATATATGTTGGATATTCCTAAATGGTAAATCCCCAGTTCCACATAGGTCAGTATCGAATTGCTGCTGTCCGTTAAATTCCTTTTGATGTACCCTGTACGGCCAGGAAGATTTTCAAGATGGCGCCAAAAAGTTTGATGCGGGCGGCCGCCTGAATCCCATCCTTTTGCCCATGGTCTCCCGAGCATTACAGCAGGCCCAGTGGGTGATTCAATGGACAGCTTCAGTGACAGTGCACACTTGCTTGGTGCTTTCAGACTTTCAGATGTTTTGTTAAGTCAAAGCCTAGGGCCTAGAAATGGGAAACACAATTATTGTTGGATGCAATACTCAAGTTTTGATTGGACCCAAGTCCTGCCTTTCGGGGTCATTCCGTGCCATGCTCTCACGCGAGGTCTTAGATTGGACGCCCGAACGCATTTCTTCGAGACTGACGCAACTCACGTTTCTCGACCAGCGATGGTGGCAGAGTGACACTAACCTGGGAAAAACGGAGGATATCGTGGGATTTCTATGGGAATACAGCTATAAAGCTGGTATATGACCAAAAATGGTGCTGAGACCAACATCCACAACTTGAGAAGGAAACTATATGGTAGATAGTCTTCTCAATCAAGGTTTGCTTTGCCAAATCTTGATGTTTATGACATGAAAAGCAGTACGATCGATCCCTGCAATTTCAGCCTGGAACTTGGCTCCTGTTTGATGAAACGCAGGGAGCTCCGAAGATTCACAAAACGCTTGGCTGACTTACACATCCAACATGTGCGAGAAGATGTTTCTAGTTTGTAATCCTTAGCAACTAATCCGTGCAACATTTGCCAATCATCAAAGCTTCTTTTGCCATGTTGTACTAACACGTACTAAATGTATACGGTCTATAGATACCCAGAAGCCAGTTTTCTTGGGTGACCATGAACCATTTACCTTTACCTTTGTGATGGGCCCCGCTTCCTGGTCATCAACCCTTGGTGTGCAACCATGAATGGTAGGATATGGTAGGTATTTTATGTCCCAATCGTTCATGGTTGGTAGGTAAAGCCCGCATTGGCAAGGGCTGATTGGCCGCAACCCGACGGTTTGCTCCGCACAGAGTACAGTGGTCAACCGTTGATTTTCCGAAAACGCTTCGCCTTCTTCCTGGCTTCGTTCAACCATATTTTTCGTTGGAGCCCCCAATGTTTCACCATGTTTCATCCAATATTATCCATTCCTATCCATCGCAGTTGGCTGAGTTCTTGCGTCATTATAAAGTTGACCAGTCCAATGGTCCAAAGTTTTATCTTGTCCATCATTAAACACCATGTGTCATCCAATTTTTTTCCGTTGTTTATTCCCTTATATAAAGGGCTCCGCCCCCTGCCGCCGACCCCTGGGCATATCTCCCATTGAGCAAAACAGCAGGGCCCTGAAGGACGGACCGAGCCTCCGGGCAACGGCTCCCACTGCCTAACGTTGCTTTCTGAACCTACAAGAAAACTAGCTCTCTTCCAGCCGTCACGGCTCACAAACGGCACCCTCGCCACAGCAAAACAGCAGGGCCCTGAAGGACGGACCGAGCCTCCGGGCAACGGCTCCCACTGCTTAACGTTACTAACGTTGCTTTCTGAAGCTACAAGAAAACTAGCTCTCTTCCAGCCGTCAAGGCTCACAAACGGCGCCCTCGCCACAGCAAAACAGCAGGGCCCTGAAGGACGGACCGAGCCTCCGGGCAACGGCTCCCAAACTAGCTCTCTTCCAGCCGTCAAGGCTCACAAACGGCGCCTCCGCCACAGCAAAACAGCAGGGCCCTGAAGGACGGACCGAGCCTCCGGGCAACGGCTCCCACTGCCTAACGTTGCTTTCTGAACCTACAAGAAAACTAGCTCTCTTCCAGCCGTCAAGGCTCACAAACGGCGCCCTCGCCACAGCAAAACAGCAGGGCCCTGAAGGACGGACCGAGCCTCCGGGCAACGGCTCCCACTGCCTAACGTTGCTTTCTGGACCTACAAGAAAACTAGCTCTCTTCCAGCCGTCAAGGCTCACAAACGGCGCCCTCGCCACAGCAAAACGGCAGGGCCCTGAAGGACGGACCGAGCCTCCGGGCAACGGCTCCCAAACTAGCTCTCTTCCAGCCGTCAAGGCCTCCGCCGCAGCAAAACAGCAGGGCCCTGAAGGACGGACCGAGCCTCCGGGCAACGGCTCCCAGTGCCTAACGTTGCTTTCTGAACCTACAAGAAAACTAGCTCTCTTCCAGCCGTCAAGGCTCACAAACGGCGCCCTCGCCA